GAGGAACTTTATTTTATAGAACTAGTTATAATATTTTTTAAATATCTTTAAAATCTTCTTATATTTATATTTTATAATATTATAAAATGCCTTAACTTAATTCTAATAATTACTTTTATATTATATAAGATAATACTTTCTATTATACTAGCTAATTTATATTAAAACTATATCTTATTTAGTAAGACTAGTATCTATTATAAGAATAATTAATCTAGTATTTAATAAGAAGTCTAGTATAACTAATATAAGAAAAGAGATTAAGAGAGTTTTAAAAATATCTATTATAAGCTAATATTTATATATCTAGATAAATATCTAATTTTTCTAGAAAAGTTTATAAATAAAGGCTATAATCTTAGTAAAATAAGTAATTCAGATTTAATAATAAATATAAATACTAATAAAAGTATAGGCTTATATAATATCTTAAGAAGCTAGCTATTCTAGAATTTTAATAATTTTTATAATTTCTAGTAATCTTTTTTTAAAAAAAATAAATATAACTAATAATTTAAATACTATTTATATATTATTATAATTTTAGGCTAGATATAATTAATCTAGTATATTTTAGTAATATAAGAACCTAGTTCAAGTTCTAAATATATTCTTATATAAATTTTTAGATATTAGAAAGGTCTTTAATATTATTATAAGTAGTAATAGAACCCCGGACTCTAATATTATTAAGGTAAGCTATATAAACTAATAATATTAAATCTCGGAAAATATAATATATAATTTAAATAAACTAAATAACTAAGTTTATATTTCCTTAAAAAATCCTAGTATAATAAAGAAACCTATATAAAGTTATAAATCCCGTTATATTTTTATATTTCTTAGCTAAAGGAAATTAATTATAATTCAAGAAATAATTTACTAAACTTATAATTATATAACTAGTAAAGTATTTCGAGAACTTATTTATATTTAGAAATAAGTTAGTATTCCTAATAATAATCTTATTTACTTATAAAGCTACTTATATTATATAATACTTAGAGGCCTCTTTCTTTCTTACTAGGAAATAAGGATTTCTATAGGACCTATTATAATATTTAAAGATTCCCGTATCTAGTTATTTCTATATAAGCTTATTAATTACTAGGGCTAATACTCTTAGTACTAAAAAGCTAGGTTCTTACTAAGCTTTATATAAGATAATATAAATTTCTAATAGTAAAGATATTTCTAGTTTTAATAGCCCTAGATAACTAAAATCCTAAGCTAGAGCCCTTTCTCTATTATCTAATATTATAAATAATAAATCTCTTTTCTTATATAATAATTCCGGACTAATTTTTAAGGCCTTTTTCTTCTTTTTTATTAAATATAAACCTGAAATAATATAAGAAAACTTTGGAATTAATTACTAAAAAAAATATCTAATTTCTAATATACTAATATTCTCTTTCTTTTCTAGTACTTTTTTCTAATTATCTAGTTTCTTAGAAGCTAAGCTAGTATTTTTATTTAAGTTTACTAGCTAAATTTTCTTTATAATAGGTTTATATAGCTTATTAACTAATATTATTAGGAAAAGGCTTTATTATTATATAAAAAAATAAGTATTAAATTATAAAGAAATATAATAATTTATATTTATATATAAAGAAATATTATAAAAGATACTTATTAAAGGTTCCGAATTAAATATATATATAATTTTCTCTTAAATTCCTAAAAAAGAAATAAAAATATTTCCTAAAAACTCTTTTTTTCTAGTTCTAATATTTCCTTTAGAATTTTCTAGTTATTTAAAAAAAAGATATTTTCTTAAATCTAGTTCTATAAATTAGATACTTTTATAACTTAGCTTATAGAAAACTTATTTTTTCTAGTATTAAAAATAATTATATAAATAGCTTCTAATTAGATATACTTAATAATAAGATTAGTTTATAGAATAAAGAATTACTTAAGAATAAGTTAATAATTAGTTTCTTTAATAAGAAAGATCTAAATATATAATAATATATTTCTAATTTTAACTTAAATATTTTTATAAAATTCTTTAAAAAAATAATATTTCTTATTATAAAAAATTAAGATTAAATAAGAATTTCTTATAATTATAAGACTATAATTATTTATAAGGCCTTGAGTTATAATATTAATTTTAGTACTAATATTAATTATAGCCTTAACTTAAATAGCTTTATTAAAATATATACTAAGCTTAAATATAAATACTATATAATATAAGTTCTCTTTATTTCTTTCTAGATTATAAAAAATAATAGTAATACTAGGGCCGGATTCTAATAAGTTATATTAAGGGCTCTAGAAAACTAGCTTTAGAAGAGCTAGAGAGTTTAATAAAAGCTCTCGAGTTATAATATTTTTTATTTTCTAATTAAGGATCTTATTTAATAATAGCTCTAGCTTAGTCTTTTTCTAAAGTTTATTTATTAGATACTAGACTTTCGGGTAAGAATTAGATAAAAGATAAATAAGAGCTATAAGTAAAGCTATAGGCTTAATAGTAAAATTCCTTAGAAAAGTTAAGTATATAAAAGTAGGCTATAGCTAGTCTAATATAAAACTATCTTATTAAGTTTTTTTTTCTTTTTATTTATAGCTATAATAGATATTTATTTCTTATTTCTAAGATATTATATTATAGTAATACTAGTTTCTTTTTCCTAATAATTCTTTAATATCTAATACTAATTATAATTATCTTTTAGTTCTTTATATAGCTTATTATTCTTTTTTTTCTTTATTTTAGAAATACTAACTATAACCTATTTATTTTTATTATTAGTCTAGATAAAATCTCTTATTTTATTATTAGAATTTATATATAAGTTATATTTTTTTATAGCTAAAAAAAGAAAAAAGATCTTGGTTTCCGAATTAGAATAAATATTCTAATTTATATATTAAGAATATAGCTTAAATTACTATACTTTATTAATTCTAGAAATAAATTAGAATATTATATTTCTCGAACTTATAGGGCTAGTATAGATCTAATTTACTTAATTAAAATATATAATTCCTGCTATATAAAGAACTAGTATTTCCGGATATTAAATAAACTAGTAAAAAGAAAAAGAATATAAGAAATAATATCTAGGATTAGTTCTAGTAAGTTTTAATAATTCTTACTAGGAAATAGGTAAATAAAACTAAGAGAATCGAGCTATATTTAAAGAAGCGAATCTAATAAGTACTATTTATATACTCGAGTTAGGTATATTATTATTTAGAAAAGAGTTCTAAATATTATTAAAAAATAATACTAATATTTATATAACTTAAGTAAGTTTAGCTATATCTAATATAAGAACTTTAGTATCTATAAGCTATATACTAACTAATAGCTAGTAATAGTCTGGTTTTATATAAATAGAAATAAGGCAAATAAGGTCTATTTCTGTAATTATTTAAGCTTAAAGACTATTAATAAGAATATTATAAAAGTAAAAATAGTCTTAATAATAAGTTATTTTTTTATTAGCTTAATCTAACTTATAATACTTTATAGCTATTAAGGTAAAAGCCTTGAAATTTATTATATAAGAGATATTAAGCTTTATATTATATTTCTAAATAATCTTTTTATAAAGAAATAAGGAAATTCCTTTAAGAAACTAAAATATTTAGGTATAGCCTTTAAATAATTAATTATTTACTAGATATTAAGAAAAGGAAATATATTATTAATAGAACTTTTATAAGTTAATTCTATTAGTATAGCCTTTCTTTTTTAAGGCCTTTATAAAACCTCGGGTTCTTATTATTTAGTAAGTATTCTTCTTTTAATACTTCTAATATAAGATAATTTTAAGAATAGCCTAATTATTTAAAACTTATTCTAGTATTATATAAATATACTATATAATAGTTATATAATAATACTAGAGAAGGCAGGAAATTATAGCTAAACTAATAATATAATAGTCTTAGTACTAGCTTTTATATTAATTTAGGAATTTAGTAATATTAGATCTTTAAAAATAAAGTATTTTAGGAGTAATAGTAAATAATATTACCTATATAAGATATATAGTTTAAGTTTTATTAATAAAAAGATCTACTAGTATTATAGGTAAGGCCGGGTTATTATTATTTCGGGAATAAGTAGTAATATCTATTTTAGTATTAGAAATAAAGCTAAAGAAATTAGTTATAATAAAGTTTAGATTATAAGTAAGAACTCATATAATAAAGAAAATAAGTAATAATAGTAATAAATATAGTTTTATAATTAGAAATAAGATAATCTCGATAGCTTAAGTAATTAAAGTTAATAATATTATAAAGGAAAATAGTAAGTTCTAATTTTATAATAACTACTTGATTTTCTAAGAAGATTATAATATATAAGTAATTGCCTTAATTCTAAAAACTAGTTCTAAAGCCTTAGTAAAGAAGCTTTTTATATAAAATAAATAAGATATAGATTATCTAGCTATTTATATAAAGAGGAACTAAATATAAGGTTTTTTATTATAGATTTCCGAAGCTATAATTTTAATATAGGCTAACTTTATACTAACTTTCTTAAAATAAGCTACTAGCTTTCCTATAAAATAGGCTAGTATAGAGAAATCTCTATATTTCCTAATAATTATATATATATTATAAATAAGTATAATAAGGAAATTAGTAATTAAAAGATATAATAAAGGAAATAGTTTTATAAGCTAATTTATTTATAAGATTAATATAAAAGAATATATCTCTATAATTATAAATAAATAGAATTAATAGCTAACTAGCTAGTATTTTAACTTTAGAAAACTTATATAATTAAAGCTAAAATATATAAATATAACTAAAAGCAAATATGCTTTTAGAATCTAGAAAATACTTATATAATTTAAAGATATTAGCTATTATAATTTAAATCTTTCCTAAATTACTAATATAATAGGAATTTAATTATTATATAGATTTTGGATTATATATAGGTATTAGATATATAAGTAGAGGTAAAGAAGATAGGAAGCTAAATAAGTAGAAGTAATAATCTTAAGACTCTTAGTACTAGTAATAAAATAATATAAATAGTCAAAAATAAGAAACTCCGAAAGTTAATATCTTAGGAAGGCTAATTATATATATAGATAGAGATCTTATATAATCCCTTAAACTAGTACCAGTATACCTGGGAAGCAGGATACATAACGGTAGTCACGGGACAAGAGAGAAAAAACCCTACTATAATACCCTAAAAATAGAGGGGCAGGTATGTACGGTTATCAGAAATCAGAAAATCAGAAATCGAAAATCAGAAAATCAAATCTCGCTTCTCTGTTTTGTCGACTAGCTAGCTATGGGCCTCAGTACATGAGCCAACCCTAGCAAGCCATATATTCTATCTCTCGGCTCCTGGCATTCGGCGTATCGAAAATCTTCTAATAACTTTTCCAGGCGGCTTGTATCACCCAAACGACCCCTCCGTTTCTGATCAAGGTTCTTGATTATCCGCATCTGGTGACTTAGTTCGTCGTATTTCCCTGCATGTTGGTTCAACGATTCAAGAAATGCTTCCCATTTCTCGGAGTGGCGTCCGATACAGACTCTCAGATCCTGCGATAGGGTAACTTCCTGTATGATCCATAGTCGAGTCCAATACTTGTGGCCACAGATCCAGGAACAAAACGTGTGCCTCTCACTTTCTTCGAGGTTTTCCAAATCAGACTTGAATGCTGTCTGGATCATTTGGTCCGCTTCACCCAGCCAGATCAGGACTCTTGCTGCGCGAGCGTATATAGAGTCCATAAATCGGACTTGCCGTTCGCGTTCTGCCAGATTGCTTTGATCGATGCAAATAGCATCGGCCCAGATCAATCTTGGCTTGTGATCTCGCCGTAAGGCCAGTAAGGCATCGTGAAGGTTTGGTCGGATCGCCATTGGAGTCCCGTTAAGCAGGATGGTGCCGGTGAGTTCAGGGGAACCCCAGGTATACGACAGTGCTTCATATTTAGGCCTGTTGCGAAATGGCACGTGGATAATTCTGCACCTGAGTATTTGCGGGTTCTCTGCAGGCTCAAGCTCGAGAAGCCGAATGGAATCCACTGAAGGATCGAGCTGTTCATATCGGAAGACCTCTGGAGTCTCTGGCATAGATACGGGATCACGCGAAGGGGAGCGGTTCAGTTTCCCCTTATGGTGTTCTCTCCCATGATGGCGTTCCCTTCCTGCACGCTGATCCCTTGTATGGCGATGTCGTTTCTTGGATGGCGCCATAGGCACTGCCCAGGCCAAGAGGTAGAGGTGTGCGACGAGACGGCTCTACGACTGCCGGGAACAGAATATTTGGAGGACGGAATTTGGCGGCGTGACGATGATATCATGAGTAAAGAGGGACGAATACGTCAACTGCACGCCTTATGGGCCAGATCCCAGCAAGTCAGCGGGTTGCGGTCTCTCTTTTGCTGGCTTGAATCATACCTCCGTAAACCAGTGTGTTCGGACTGGTAATCTTACCAAACCACTCAAGGGAAGCAGGACTGTTCACCAACACGCACAGAAATTATCTCTCAATTTCTCCCTGTCTCCGCAGACTCTTAGCCTGATCACCGTCGGCGATGCAGTAAGACAATTATTCGAGGAAGAAAAAGTGATTATCTGTCCAGAAGCTAGTTTCTCTGGCTAGTCATGAATTGTAGCAGGAGCAGTTGCGTTGAAGTTCAAGGCCAAATAGAAGCCGCGACGAAAAAATGAGGTGGAAAAGGTGAGCTGCGAGAAGTGAGCTGCGAGAAGTGAGGTGCGAGAAGTGATGTGCGAGATGCGAGGAGCTGGCAGACAGCAAAGCCGGGCGTTGATGATAAACGCCTTCAATCGCGATTGGGCGCAACAAATCAGCTTGAAACTGATATCTCCGGACCTCCCAGCCTTGTCGTCTTTCTTGTCCCTTAGGCAAATCGCACACCAAGATAATGACCCGAAGTCCAGAAGGGGTGGTTCAAGACGTGGAGGGAGCACTACCCTGGCTGTTGGGCGCCTCTCTGCGAGATCAATCACTGAGATCTGCGATTCTTTCGTACGCATTTTGCCTTTGAAAGGGAAGTTAAAAGGCGCGGCTGCGCTGAGAAGCAGGTTGCCCCGGCAGCCTTGTGCATGCTGTTCAAGGCAGGACCCGTGCATTCAACAGGTCGAGGCAGAATTGAGGGTCGCAAAACTTGATTGTTCACCCTTTTCGTTATTTACAAGGAGATAGAGCGTTGCTAACAGGCGTTCTGTCTGCAACTGAGGGTGAAATAGAGAAAATGAGGTTTTGACGAGGATGAGGTCGAGAAGGAAAGGGGATTGGTCTAAAAATAGCCGGATTGCTGAGTCATCAAGAGATACCTTCCCATTGGCTCATCGCTCATGTCAAATCAAAGCCGGCGGGGGTTCATATTCTTTTTTCAACATCTGCCTTGTCCTTTTCCCGCGTTCACTGAAGGCTGGTAAACAACTCATCGCCCACCACGCATATTGACAACTTCATGTACAGATTCTAATTCTTCGATCCCAAATGCCTTGTGGGGACCCTGTTGTTGGATGGAGGGCCCAACTGGATTGGCAGGGACGCGCCCGCGTAGCGCCAGGTGTTCCTCCAGCCATGCCCAACGCCAACCTATATAACGCCGGCTTGTGGATTGTCGGAGGATTAGTCACAGCCGATTCACCATTATACCCAGTACGGGTGCTCTACTCACTTGTCAATGGCTCGTTTAACTTCACTCTTATTCTTGTTTATTTCGGGATCTATTACCTTGCTTCAATCTGGGCCAGTCAGGTGACCAAGGCTGTCCCTGACCCGTATTTGGTATGTCTACCTTCTATAAACACGAACACCCTCCTAACAATATACAGGACGAAATTTTTCATATCCCTCAAGCTCAGGCATATTGCAGTGGAAGATTTGATGTGTGGGATCCAAAGCTCACAACCCCTCCGGGCCTGTGAGTTGTTACCTATTCTCATTCAAGAGCCAACACTGACCTTCTCCAGCTATTTTATCTCGACACTCATTGGTAGTCAATACTCGCCGCATGGGTGCAGGGTGTCCAGTCTTCGTTTTCACAACGTCCTAGCCCTCCTGTTCCTACTCTCCTACGCAATAGATTGTAGGGGCCTTATTGCTGTCGCTTGGAGGCGGGACCGGAATGAACCAGTCCGGAAATGGATCAGAGATGCGCGCCCAATTTCGGCAGACATGCTGCATACAGGCGCCAACATTGCCCTGTTCCCTCTCCTGTTCTTCTTTTCGGGCTTGTATTATACAGATGTCTTGTCGACTTCTGTGGTACTGGGGATGTACCGCCTATTTCTAGAACGGAAAGGTGCCCGTGCCAACTCTGCTGCGGGACTTGTGTGGTTGTACCCAGTTGGTCTGATTTCTCTCGCCATGAGACAAACGAATATCTTCTGGGTGGCGGTGTTCATGGGAGCGCTTGAGCTGGTGAGGACGATCACAGCCAATAAAGTGGACTTCACGAGTGGGCAGCCGACACCCCGAACTTGGAAACACGTGGCGATTGAGAAGTTTCAGCAATACAGTCATGGCAATATCCATGATATTGCGCTGAAAAATGCTGGTGTGATTGGCATGTTATCGTTCATGATGTTAAGACCCAGAACTAATATTCGACAGACTTCATTCTCTGCGCGATCAGCATTATGGTCGCTGCGATTTTCTACCCTTCGCTCATTCTGACCCGACTCTGGCCATACGTATTGCTCTTAGCATCTTTTGCTGGGTTCGTGGTCTGGAATGGCGGTGTAGTCCTGGGTACTTTCCTTTCCTCAGATACATGGCCTTTACTAAAATCCGCAGGGGATAAATCCAACCACGTCGCAACCGTCCATCTCCCTCAAATGCTCTACATCTGGCCGCTCGTTACTTTCTTCTCCGCTCCTCTCATCATTCCCATTGGCATTTCATTTCTTCGAAATCTCGCCTCGCTCCTCTTGATCCCTCTGTTCCCACGCCTGGTACAGAAATATCTTCTCATTTCAAGCTACACCGCCATTGCACTCGCTGCAACCCTGCTCGTCATCAAATACAACACAATCATTCATCCATTCACTTTAGCGGATAATAGACATTATATGTTCTACGTCTTCCGATACACCATTCTCCAACATCCTCTGGTACGATACGTTCTAGGCCCGATATATCTGATTTGCGCATACCTGGTCTACCTAACCCTTGGCGGTCCCTGGCGGCCAGGTTCCTCCTTAGTTTTGCAGACTAAAATATTGAATGGAACAATACAAAGGCAGCCAGAACACCTCGAGAAAGAAGATAGTGAACAGGGAGGGCCAACCACGTCCTTCCTCATCACCCTCCTTGCTACCACAGCACTCTCACTCATCACAGCACCTCTCGTCGAACCTCGCTACTTCATCATTCCGTGGGTGATTTGGCGCTTGAACGTTCCGTCCCTTCCCTCCCACGCGACGTCTTCGCCTGCCAAGCAAAGGCAGAAGGGAGTCGGAAGACCGAGCGATAGGGTTGTCGAGTTCATCCGTTATTGGGGATGGGAAGGGCATGATTACAGACTGTGGTTAGAGACGGCTTGGTTTCTTTTGATTAATCTTGTCACGGGGTATGTTTTCCTGTATCGGGGATTTGAATGGCCGCAGGAACCTGGGATGGTTCAGAGGTTTATGTGGTGATGTAAGATTACTGACAAGTGCTAAAATGGGGTCGGTGTGTTATACCAGAGTCGTGAGATGCCATGAGAAACTCAGGGGGGGTTCAATGTGTTTTATATCGAGGGCCGCAAGAAAATTTCAATCTGTTAACCAAGTGCTGGGGGGTCAATCTTCCTATAGCACACCAATCTACATTCCGCCGCACCGCCGCATCTGCCATTTCCTGATCCTCAAGAGTTACCCGACCGCCGGTTCTCGCCTGGTTCTCGAGTCTGCAATTGCTCGAGATCTAAATTCCGTCGACTCCCAGTTTGAAGTGTGCGGTTTTGGACGCGGCTACGCCCGCGCAGAATGTTCCGCATGTAATGCTTCTTAGAAAATACAGGGGCGAGATCTTCCTCGCTTTGCTTCGCGGGGACAGTTTTCTCGCTGGTTCAAAAGTGGAGCTGAAAGGATCGTGCTGCAAGATATTCCTGCAGTCCTCAACAGCCTCACCGAGACCCTCCCGTCTGGAATTAAGTCCACTACATACGATTTCTTTACGCCACGGCCGGTAAAGGCATGAAAGCGTATTATTTGGCTATCGTGTTGCATGATTGGCCTGATTCACTTGCTTCGAAGAATTTTGGGGATGTTAGGGAGGCGGTTGGGGAATGGAAGAATGGATGGGGGTGGGAAAGGTGAGTATTGCGTCTGCGAGCGCGGATTTGATGGTAATGACCGGCTTTCCGGAGCCGAAGAGGGCGGAAGAGGGGTTGGGTTTGGTGGGGGAGGCGGGGCTGGTGGCCGTTAAGGTGTGGGTTGTGGGGTGTGGAGAGGAGAGAAGGCTGCTTGAGTGTGTGTTGAAGCGGGGGTGAGTAGAAGTTTGATAGTCCGTACCATTTATGTGTCAAGAGGGGAAATGGTATTAGATCGTGCGGTGAAGCAGGGGACAAACAGATGTTCCGATGGCGTACGGTATTACAGAGGGTCGAAAAGAGTTTGTATTGGGCTGTCAGATTCCGAACATCTCAACTCAATCGATAAAGGTGCTCTTCCTGGTCCTTCAAACGATTTTTACAACACTAAACTCTGCATCTCTGAACCATTCCGTGATTGTTCCTGCATGATAGTCGATACTATCCAAAGAAATATTCTCATACGGTAGCCCCACTATTTCATACGCACCAGGCATAGGAGGAATAGGACCAACCCCTCTGGAGGTTCAACGATCACGGTTTGTGGAAGCACCATGTTACCAAAGCGTAGCATTCCAATCCAAACACAAAAGGTATTGAACACTCAATTGTTGCTTTCGTCATCTAAAAAATCGGCAAGGGAATCAGCGGCAAACTGAACCGTTTACAGGATAAATTTAAGCATTCTCGTGGACGGACGCCGTCTTCGCGGATTCGGCCCCCCAATCTTGGCGGTCGTCTTGCATAATGCACAGATAGTCAATTCATAGATATCGTACTGAGAGACATCAAGTTATTGCCATGGCATCGTGGAAAGTCCCAGATTGTGCCATAACTAGTCCGGATTCCATATGTGTGATATTTAGCTTCGTTGTCCATATGGGCTGCAATAAACCCCATAAAAAAGTATTCTGTTTACAATTGCTCAATAGAATACATTCCGGGTGTTGGTATGGAGGCTGAAACTACGACAAAGGAAAGAAATTAACGCGGGCCTGCGAAAGCCGACTAACAGCAATGTTTCATTGCATAATATATTGCAAATAGGCTTTGACTATTCGTCTAGAACGGCCTCAATAATGCTGCTATTATCACCACCAGCCCCGTGAACATTCACAATTTTGAAGCCCGCCCTCTGCAGCAACCCATGCCACTGAAACAGGTTCCTCTCCTGCCCACCAATAAACAGCATCATAATATCCCGAACGACTTTTGCGGGTTCTGGGTACTGGTCCGGGAGTACTAGTTCACAGATGAGGAGCTTGGAATGGGGATGGCCTCTCATAGCCGGTGCGAGGTTGGACAGAATTTGCAGGCAAGCTTCGTCAGGCCAGTCGTGGATGATGGATTTCAGGAAGTAATTCGATCCTAATCTGGTCGTCAATGGTATTCTTCTTGTGACCTCTTCAACGTAGGGAGGCTTACCTTTGATAGGTTGAACCTCCTTGAAGAAATCATAAGTCTGCAACTTTACATCCTCGCTAACAATCACACCCCCGTCAAGCACGGCCTTCAAGTCCTCCAACACGAGCTTCCCTTTCATGTGCGGGTACGCCTCCTGAATAGCTTTTAGCATCTGTCCCTTTCCTCCACCAATATCCACCAGCGCAACTCCATCTTCATTAGAGACAAGTTTATCAAATGCAAACAGACTCCCTAGCGGCTTCATGCCCAGGACAGCCATGATCTCCATCGCATCATTGAAAAGCTTGAATTTATTCTCATCCTTCACAAGAAGATCAAAGAAACCCTCATCTTGAGCCCCATGAGCGAATGTGAACGGCACATTCTTCAAGTCTTCTGGACTCTTAAACCCGTATTTATGGTAGTACCCAGGAGCGGAAGAAAGGTGCGCAGGGAGCAATATCTCAAAATGGTTCCTGAAACTTGCTTTTGCTGCTGGGGAGATTAAGAGGCGGGACATCGGTGTGTGCGCGAGAGACATGAGATGGTTTGGTGGATGGTTTGGTGGAGGATAGGTCACTTCGAGGATTTCGAAGGCGCCGAGGACGCGCACGAGGCGGAAGATGAATTCTTCGCTTGCGTTGATCTCTTTGGCTAATTCTTTTAAGGTGAGGTGGCCGAATGCGGGGATGGCTTCGAAGAGATTGAGTTCTAGGGCTATTCGGACGGTTACGTTGAGGTATGGGCGGGCGTTTAGTTCCATGAATCGTTGTTGAATTGGGGACGTGGCGGTAGAGAGTTTTGAGGAGGTGGATTGTATGGCTTTGAGGGCTGAGGTTTTCTCCTGGGCAGTCGAGGCGGCGGCGTACCGGGCCAGAGCGGCTTGGATTGAGTCTGAGAGGGAAGAAAGTATTTCGACTGGGGGCTCGAAAGGGGGAGGTCCTTGACCGGATGCTCTTTCTAAACTTGACATCCTGGATCTTGTCACGAGAAAATGGTTCAGACAGTTAACAGGTTGCTATAAGTTATAAAGTCATCGAATAAACATGAATGTTAATTCAACCGCGCGTTCTGGCGCGACCTTTTGAGTTGGAGTGAGAGTAACACCGCCACACTCACCCCACTATTCAAGAGCGGGAAATAGCGGGGTAGTTTCGGCCGCCTGAGTAGTCTAATAAGCATAGCCTTAGCAAACAGTATTGAAAGTGATGAGTATGACGTGAGGGCCGTTAAGTCGTTTGGCCCATTAGGCATTTCATGGTATGACAAAGTTTGTGAAACGCAAATTAATGTGGTAATAGCCTGTGTTCCTTGCATGTTTTGAGAGATCATCCATGTTGGGGCAGTAGCTCGCGCCGGTGGCACTGAAACCCCTTTCTATTGCCCAATCATATCCCTTTGTCCGGTGAGACATTGCCACATTAGCGGCCGCACATGAATATCCCTAATGGGGCCGGAACATAATCCGAATTAGGGATATTCATGTGCGGCCGCTCATGTGGCAATGTCTCACTGGACGAAGGGATAGAAGACCCCCACGGGCCGCTATCTAAAATAAGATGCGCATTGACACACAATAAAATGAGCCTTCCGTCTTGAATCAACTTCAAGCGAAACCTGCAGCAACGAGTCGCTTTGTGAGCACATATGTACCCACCAGGCCCAAGTTAACCTCCTTTTGATGCCCGAACGATGCCAGAACTCAATTCAACTGAACAGAACTCAAAAGAACTCATCGAGCCCGAGACGGAGACGCAAGCACATACCGGGGACCGTTCTTGGGGAAATGGAAGCACTACTTCCCTGCCATCGATAGATAGTCACCACAATAGTGTGAGCACTACCCAGTCTCTCCAGGTAGGCTGCATCGAATGCTTGGGCGCTAATGCGAACACATGGGCCATAGAACGACGCCGACTCCGCAATTGGCAGTTTCTCTGATGCGTTCGTTGCCCTCTGCTAAATTTTGAATAATTTGAATTTTATGAAAAGACATCCTATCGACACTGGCTGATACATGAGCAGGACATCTACAACTTCATTACGATCAAATATTTACAAGAATGTAGAGGAAAATGGTCGAACGTACCATCAGTACAAGCAAGGCAGTATGTCCCCCCACCTTTGGATCAAAATGGAGCTCAACTTATTGCATTCTAGAATATAATCTACCAAATGATGAGGTCAGTCCCAACGACGCTAGACCATAGGTTTTGAGTCTCTAATCTAAACTCGCTTGCTATCTGACAGATGGAAAAAGAGAGACTAGGTACGCTGTTAAGGGGTTTTCGCTGTTGAGTTCTCCGCAGATTAATGTGGTGATAGACCTTCAACATACCCTGTTTTACATCTCTCTTGGCGAGAAACTCTATTTAGCACCACTTGGTCCAAATATCCATAATGTCCTCGACATTGCGACTGGTATCACATTTCTGCATCCGGGTTCAACAACAACACTAATCCTCGAACAGGGACTGGTATTTGGGCAATTGAATTCGGTTAGCCATCAATACTTCATCCGGGACTTTGAATAACACCCTACAGCGAATCTGTTCCCCTCCGCTCAAGTTCTTGGCACAGATCTGAGTCCAATCCAACCCGAATAGTATATTTCCTCTTCATATTTGGAGTCCCAAATTCCCACCCACGTACTGACGTACCCACAGCGTCCCCCCAAACTGCCGCTTCGAGATTGACGACGCAGAAGACGAGTGGCCTTTCGCTGAAAAATTCGACTACATCCACGGCCGGGCCCTCCTCTCCTGTTTCAAAGACCCTAGAGCTGTCCTCACCTCCGCCTTCGACTCACTTGCTCCAGGCGGTTACCTGGAACTCCAAGACGGAGTGTGCCCATTTTCATACATCGGTGACCCGCCAGTGACCTCCGATTTCTATCGCTGGAACGAGCTCGTCGTTGAGGGATCAACGAAGGTCGGGAGACCGTGGACGAATGTTGTGCATTACAAGCGCTGGATGCAGGAAATTGGGTTCGAGGATGTGGTAGAGAAGAGCTTCTATTGGCCGACGAATGGCTGGGCTAAGGGGAGGCATTATAAGCAGATCGGGGCGTTGTTTCAGGCCGATATGTTGAATGGGATTGAGGGCATGAGTCTGAAGATTATTGGGCAGCTTGGGTGGACGCCTGATGCGATAAGAGAGTTTATTGTGGGAGTTAGGAGGGACTTATGTGATCCTTCAATTACGTCGTACATGAACATCAGGGTTGTGTATGGACGGAAACCCTCACCGGTTGTGGTTTAAAAGTGGGGCCCTTGCTTCGATTTCTTCGACGTTTTTTCGTTTAGCGGTGGTGTATTTTGGCCCTTCTAGATAGCACAACCTGCCTTTCTTTTTTGCATAAAGGGTCAATGGACTGGGTCCTGTGAAGGGGAACTTCGAGCTAAATTTCCCTTGCAGCATATTCAACTGAGCGGTGGCTGAACTCCAGCAGGGTTGGCAATAGCGGGGTAATTTCGGCACTCCCACGGCCTCTCTCTCAGTAAACTGCCTAGGAGACAATGATAAGATTTCAAAATTGAAAGCTATTCGATTGATCCTTAGGCCAAACTTTCGGCGATATTGTACAACATCTTCAGTATGAAAAGACGTTGTGTTGTTCTGTATTGCAAGGCGTAGTTATGAGCTCTGGAGTAGTTTAGCGGGGCAGAGAATAGCCCGGTCCGACCTGCACCCACCAGACCGAGACACCTTACCTCTGGGTCTCTCATAAATCATCTCAACCAGCTCAATCCTCTTTCACACCCCTTCCGACAGTTAAAAGCTGCCTTGCTGACTCCTTTCGCACCATTTGTGCAACCCCGACTGCAGATATACGATGCCCAGAGCGGGAATCAGCCCACTCCACGGAATGTGGGTGTGGCAAGCTGACCTGGCAGTTGACGCACCATTCAGGTCACCACTCCTCAAAAAGTAGCCACAACATGAGCCTACCCGAACGGTCTCCCTGCAGCCTCGTCTGAAAATGGCATTGATCACGCTGATTCCGCTTGGAGGCGTTCACAGCCTTGTTGCCGTTGATGGTGGAGAGTCAACAGTCGAAAGATGTGGTCATAAAAAGACGAGCCTTCGTTCTCATCGTTCTTCCCCCCTTTGCCTTCCTTCCAACTCACTGTACCCCGCAACCTCATTTTCTTCACTTGCAGATTCCCTCTGCCTTCTCAAATCAATCGCTTATTTGCAGTCTTTCTCCCGTGTCAAATCCCCAGCTGAGACTTTCACGTGCATTGTGGCTGAAGCCCCCTGCACTCGGTCACGGCTGAACCACGCATCTCGCTCTCAGCCCCTCTACCTTCTCTCAAATCTCCTCATCGATTGAAAGAACCAATCCCGAGCTCTATCTTTGGCTCTTCTGAAGGAGCTCGCCCCGTACACGAGCAAACTTTCCTCGTTCATCGGATCAGACCTCAATAAACTCCATCCTTGCATCCTAGTCTCTCACAATGACTCCGGCTTTCGACCTCCTCGAGCGCCGGAAGGACAAGTTCATGCTTTGGATTCCTGCTGGGCTCCCCAATGCGAGTCCTCCTTTCTTGGTGCTCAGTGCCTTTGAAAAAGGGCCGCCACCCCCGGTGAACCAATCCACCAGAAGTCAGTTTGTCCAGTCAGACCACCATGACCTGTGGGAATTGGATCCGAATTGCATCAGCCCGCCATTGACGAACGACACGGTCTATCAATACTGGTATGAGATCAACGATCTGTCACCAGAAAAATTGGGACCAATACAAGTCACAGACCCGCTAGCGTACACCATATACTACACTTCCTCGGAGTCTCGAGACGACCATACGCAGCCAGCATCCATCGTCAAATTTCGCGATGGAAAGCTGTGGCCTTGCGATATTGATGGCAGCGAGCCCGGTCCTCCAGCGATCCCGTCGCAAGACTCTATGCCCCAGAACAACCACATGGTCGTCTACGAGCTCCCAACATCTTGGTCCAGATACCAACATGTTGAGCAAAATAACCAGGACGTAGAGATTGATGTTGGGACCTTCACCGATGTCCTCGCTTTGTTTGATAAGTCCGTCGGTGGTAAGAGATTCAATGGGATCTCAGCGATTGACAACGAAGCCATCGTCGCGGAACTCGGCATCAACGCTCTGGAGCTGTTGCCACCCGCAGACGCAAGACCAATCGGCCAGTGGGGGTATGCTACGGCGAACTACTACGCAACCGATTTCGATCTGGGAACTTCATCACAGTTGGTGGCGCTTGTCGAAAAGATCCACAGCCAGAACACACGCTTCTTCACCGACGTTGTGATGGCATTTGGACACGAGCCGTATGTCTACATCGATTTCAAGCAGTTCCACCTCGACCAAAATGCACCGGAGGAGGCAAAGAGCCCGGATAGGTGGCAATCCAACTCAGAGGGAGCACGAGATGGGTATGGGGGGCGACTTTGGCGGTATAGCTGGCCGGTCGATGCAAATGGCGAGGATGTGGTCACCTCCTCATATGACCCAGAGTCTGGCCAAGTTGCAAACATCCACCCATCTTGGGCCTTCCACAAAGGCCACGTTCATCGTTGGATGACCTCTTTCGGAGTTGATGGTCTGCGCCTCGACAGCATCAACAACGTTGCCAACTACGATTTCATCAGATCATACAAAGAGTATGCCTGGTCAATATACAACTCCCGCTATCCCAACGCTGACCCGTCAAAATTTCTCGTTATCGGCGAAGAGCTCAGTGATCCGCTAAACCTCATTACATCCGGAGCTCTCAACGCCCTATGGAACGAGGGATTCCAACGCCGCCTCCGTGCCACTCTACTCGGAAACGGCAGTGATGGCGACGACTTCGAATGGACAGTCCGCAAGATGGTTAATTGTACCCTCGATTACTATCACCCTTTCGCCGACGGCTCCCAGTCGCTAAACTACATCACATCCCACGACACGGAGGGCGGCCTTGCTAAAGAACGGCTGTACAATTTTCTGTCCGACAGTGGGGTCACCGACATGGAGCGCCGTGCAAAGTTCGCCTTTGCGCTGTTTCTGACTGCTGTCGGTATTCCGATGATCTTTGCAGGCGAGGAGTTTCTCGATCAGATGGATCGTCCTGTCGGTGACAAACAATCCGACCCTGTGAATTACGAACGAAAGTCTGAAGACTGGCGAACCAGGATCTTCAATTATGTTGCCAACATGGTTCAGTTCAGAAAGTCTTGCCCGGCTCTGGGCGACAACGACACGGAGTTCATTCATGTAGACCAGAGTCGTGGAGGGAAGATCATGGCGTGGAAGAGAGGAGGTCAGGGACAGATTCCGGCTGTGGTGGTAGCGAACTTTACAGATCAAGATACGGAGGGAAGTGAGTACGTTGTTGCGAATTGGCCAGATAAGGATAAGGGGGGCTGGAGGGAGGTGACTCAACAGAGAGATGTGCCCGCTGAGTGGGTCGGAAGGGAGCCGTTGATGCATTGGGAGGCTAAAGTTTATACTTATTGGAGCGGATAGGCGGTTGAAAATTAATGTTTAATGAGTGGTGGTGGACTTGGGGTGGGAAGGGAAATTGCATGCTGGTTGGAAGATTGGTGAGGAGTAGGTTCTTGAGTATTGTGCACAAAATTCAGCCCAGCTTGATTCATTCGATAGCAGTAATAAAAACAGCGAAACCTGACAAGTTCTAAGCTGCCTTGGAATTGTGTTACTTCTATACCCACAAGCCCCCCGGCCACCCCCCATTTTTTAGGGTGTGGCAGGCCTTAAAATACGTGTTCTCTACAGTTTAATTACCTATAATCGCGTTGGTGAAAATTGAGACAAAGAGCGTTGGGCAGCCTTTGAAAGCTAGTTGTGATATTGAAAAAAAGGTTCAATAACCAACTCTATGCCAAATCGAGCTAACCAAGTTATCTTACTCGGTACAAGGCCGTTTACAAGTACCCCAGAAAGTGTCATGCCGTCTTAATCTGCTCTTAAGTCTTTCCACAAACCCTGCCGTATTGCTTACCTTCCTTTTCCGACTTTCAAACCCACTCAAATCACGGAGATCAATAATCTAGAAATGTCGAATTGCAGATGCTCCCAGCTATTGAGATATCTCTGCGGTCTTCAGTGAGAAGACAGGGGTGCATTTGCCACCGGGCGAGTCTTGGTCACGTGCTTGTTTATATTGTCAAAGATATTTGCAACAATATGCCGAGTTAGTTGATACTTACAATACGTACCTGGTTGACCGATTTACACCCAGATAGATGGCTTGTAGTGTGTTTCGATGTGCAAAGCCAGATCCGTGGCAAAGCTCGATGTTCACGCAACGCTACTTAATTGGGCAACTATAAGCCTAAATCCATATCCAAGAAACTCATCTCTAATGTGAGCAATCGGTCGAACCACATTCCTTACCTTGTAAGAAAGTTTCGTAGCACAGTTGATCATCTTTCAACATCGCTGGCAGATATTCGTGGCTCGGCAATTGCTACTACTTGGCTGTAGATCAATGAGCACAAAAGTGTATTAGAATGGTCGTCTTCCACGGATGTGGGTCCTACCAGAAGTCGAAAACGACTTGGTATCAACTTGTTTCGTCCAGACAGCTTCACTGGAATCTTGATCATTGTCGAATTATTGCTCATCGTCGTGGTCGTACTTTTTTCTATGGCCAAGGAGCAGGAGCAGGCATGGCTGAAAAGAAGTTCAGCCTCACTAGTACCGCCCCCCTAAACCCCTCTCGGTCCTAAATATCATATTAACGGAGGGCTTATTCTAAGAAAATCGGAGGCGCATACCCCCTTGATGTGGTAGACAAGCTCGAGGAAGCCAGCCTGAGCAATTTCGCTGCTTATCTCACCAAACACCCCCCCGAACTCTAGTTGCACTCTTGAGACTGCGGTTAGGAAAACGGAATGTTACGAAACCCACCATCTACTGCTGGGCTAGTCACAGGCAGCCCATTATGAGCAGTGTGTCAAAGGATTAATCACGTTAATCAAATTAATCAATTGATTGATTGATTAGTGTGATTAGATTATGATTAGAATATGATTAATGACAAAATCCTTCGATTAGATTAGATCAATGCCCATTAATCTAATCTAATCTAATCTAATCATTTGACACACTGGTTACGAGAAAAACTAGAAATGGACTCGGGCTAACTCTCTGTGAAGGAGTGATCTTCCCGAAGTGCAAAGAAAGGAATGCACTAAAGCAATAGTCTGTCTCCAGTCCAAGCCCCCTAGATCGCCAAGAGATATGTATCCAAATGCTTTAAATCGTTTCGATAGTTTCGTAACAATGCATGAGACGATGGCTCGGGAACTTCGTTCAACCGCAGGTTAAGTCGATGCTTCGAGATAGTCAATGCTTACGTCCATGTGCAAAGTCGCATCTGTTTCCAGATCACCGGTTGTTCATCTGGGCTTATAAAAAGGCTCTCCGTGAAGAGTGCGGGTATACTGCCTACCAACCTGTAAGTTTAGAACTATTGTGAACTCCAAACCATATTTCCTAACATCGGGAATTAGCACTGGAAATGTGGCCGTACCGCTGAGGACCCGATCAATTCACCGCTCTTCAATGGAAACGATTCCAGTATGGGGGGAGACTGTCTTCCAAGTCGACCACTTATATTCTTCCAAACAGGACTTCTTTCTCCACCAGGTGACCCAGTCTTTTATCTGCATCATGGTATAATCGACTTCATCTGGCCGTTTGGGCAAATGCAAGATCCCGAGAATCGTATTAATGTGCTCCCAGGATATGCTCCGCCAATGATATTGTAGGTCTGAAATGGATGGCTAAGCCAGCAAAGATATTGGATATGTTGACCAACATTGGTGGCAATGGCGGTCAGTTCTGTTATATCTATTGTTTACATTGCAATTCGTCGTCAGTCCAGCTGGGAAATGTATTTCGTAGCAGGTGAGGCGGCTGCTTGCTGCCGCAATTCTCTCAGGCATATTTTGAGTACGACAGGCTGAGAAAGTTACAGCGAAGGATATAAATGACAACAGGAAAAAATTTCTTCTGCTAGATTTTATTTATGCATTTCATATAATCTACAATCTCGTTTCGTGTGTCAATTGCTGGCTGGGTGCATGGTTCATTTCTACTTGGAAAAGTTAGACTCTACTCGCAAACTCGCCGGCTCCATTTTTGTCTGCAAATATTAGTAGCAGCTACATACATTGGCACGAGCCGAGGGCGGGTAAGCAGTCTTGGGCTAAGTGTAAGCAGGACTGAGCTTAACCCAGGCATGCATTGAGTCACTTGCTGTGCATCATCAATGGCAACACCTATCATCTCAGTAAGTTTCGGCAACGTTGAAAGCAGCCCAATTCGTCAATTTATCCCTAATTATTCCCCCAGAGATAGCTGATATCTGGACCATTTGCGTGGATTCTAGGCCCCCTCACGATCGAGAGATTGATGGCCGATCTGCTGAGAAACATTCTGGGGCGAAGCCAACCTGCATCAGACTCCCCGCATTTGAGAAGAAAACATACCCCGAGTGGTCCCGCATTCCTGTGGCTTTTCAGCTTTCAGCTGTTCTTTTGGTCGTGTGCCTCTTGTCATTCTATTTAACTCCTGATTTGCTGGATTGTGCATAATTCTGCCGTGTTGTCTTGGCTTGCATCCTCATTTTGTTATGTGGACAACTAATCTGAGACTAAGTATTGGCTAGGCTCACTGGATGCTTACAACTTGACTTAACGGAAAACTCCATTACGTCCAGCATCCCTAAGGAGCAAGTGGTCGCGTGTCTTTGTGGCATGACTTTGCGTGCGCTGTGTGGTAGGATCCATGCCGTACTACCACACGATGCCTCAGCCTGCAAGATATAATGCTCGCCCTCCTCTGGCAGCCGGATCGAAGGATGACATCCTCTTCAAACTTCAAAGAACAATCATCAACACATCTCTAAAACAACAATCATACAACCTTCACGATGAGCAAACCACAGGATCTTCTCAACAGTTTCTATGGGATCGACAATCTCGTCACCATCAACCTCACGATGCCGGCGCAAGACTGGCAAGCCTTGATGCATGCAGAGCCGCGTGGCGGCAGGTGCAATTTTGGCTATATTGGAGACCGCTATGACTGGTTCAAGGCTACGTCAGTCACAGTATCCGGAACGAAATTCCCTCAATCAGGCACCTTCGCAGATGTTGGTATAATTAAGAAGTCATACTGCGGATCTTTTAGCACTACCAAACCATCATTTCGTCTCGACTTCGCTCGCACTGTCAAGGCGAACGAGGACGCTGCTGAAAAACTTATCGGAACAAAGACTTTGACGCTGAACAATTCCTCGCAGGACCCAGCTTACGTCCGGCAGCCACTTGGCTACGAGATTTTCCGGCAAGCAGGACTCCCGTACGCAAGATGCAATTTTGCAAAAGTCATTGTCAATGGCGCCAGCCTGGGTGTTTTTGTCAACCTCGAGCCGTACAAGAAACAGTTTTTGAAGAATTTGTTCGCTGGCAACGACAAAGGCAATCTCTACGAACTGGAAGTCGGGGAAGACATCGACCCAGCCATAGTTGCATCGGGTAAGATCAGTTTCGAATCGGGCTTGGTTCCAGACGAAAAAGATCTCACATTGGCGGCCACGCAAATGGCCACTGGAGGCCTGGCAGCCGCAAAGCAAGTCGTCGATTACGATCAGTTCGTGAAGCTTTTTGCCATGGAAACCTTGTTGAAGCACTGGGATGGGTTCACAATCAACGTGAACAACACCTATGTCTACAATGATGTGGTGGCAGTTGCAAATCCAAACGTCTCCAATGTCAAGTTGAAGTTCATCCCCTGCGGTATCGACCAGATTCTTCAAGAAGGACGCAATTTTGAGATCGGCGGAAAAGCAATTCTTGCTCGGCTTATACGCGCCGACGCTGGAGGCAAAGCAAATCTTTTCTCAGCGATCCGGAACTTTGCAAGCACAATCTTCAGCAAGACCAACCACGACACTGTCTTGAAGCCCTACATAGACCGTATGGAAGCCTTGCTAAACACCGCCGGCGTGGCTCCAACGGGAGACATCAACATTGTCAGAAACCAAATCAAACTTGTCAGATCCGGTGCGTTCCAACTCATCGGCGAGTTTCCCCCAAGCCCAACTATGTTTCTGACCCGCGCTGTCGGCGAATGCTTCCATGTTAGCAACACCGAGTTTATTCCTCCCAATGGTCCGCCAACGGGTCCTCAAGAAGTCACCCATTACCAAGGCACCGCTGTCCCAGCAGACTATTGGAGCGTTACCCCGGCAAAACCTTCAACGTACAAATTCAAAAATCAAGCCTACGGATCGTGGTTGCATGCCGATGCAAATGTCAAGACCCCCAGTGGAAAACTGAATGTCTACGCAGTGCGCAATGACCCAGACGATGGCAACAACTTTGTTGTCGAGCCTTCGGGCAACTTTGGGGGTGATGCGTGGCACAAGACTGGGTATTTCAGGCTCAAGAGCGCCGTAACAAATAACTATGTGTGGTTCAGCGACACCGACCTCACTCCGAACGGCAAGAAAGAGGCGTGTCAGAGCGCGAATGCTGCTGATGCAGCGGTTCTATACATCTTTTGAGGAGCTACAGCAAGTTGAACGCCTGTTTTCAGTTGTTAACAACTTCGATGCTAGTCAAGGGGACTTGGGTATGGGCAGACTTGGGCTAGGGGGTTTTCTTTGTGGATGTCAGGGATGATATGGGGTGGAAAACGATCTTTGGATGAAATCACTTCAACTGAGAGTACAGTTCGAAATTGTGGCCCCACTGGTTTGTAAACTCACGATGCAAATGACTATAATGACGGAGTCAAGCAATGGTTCCCTACTGGATGCTGAGCTATATTCATTATTATCAAATATTTCCCTTTAACCCAAAACTCCGCTCATATCTCATCCCCTCCGCAGCCGCGGCGTCACTGCGTGAATTTAAAGTTACATTAACAGTAAGCGCCGAACCTTTAGTATAAGAAAGTGCCAGTGTCCTGTGATGATACCTTGCAATTGTAATTGCTGTCCCTTCTTTCCCTTTGAGTACAGAGTGTCCCTTGTGCCGGCAATGGAATAGTTGATTTTGTCGTATGGTTGTTAGTTTTGATACGTCATCTCAAGTGAATTGCCAGGAAAAACTGGAAATGCACTGCTGTGTATCGTGTCGGTTGAAGGCAGAAAAGAACACACCACTCCCGGAATGGGGAGGTATTCAGGCCATTGACTAGAATCAAAAATTGTCATTTCCTTCCAAGGCCCCCCTACGGAAAATCTATTTTGATGGAAAGGCGTCCTCAGCTAGCGATAACCCACATATTTTGGAGAACGAAAAGCCCACAGCTCATACCGCAGTTCTTTCGTGGTGTCGCTGCTTATATAGTATTATCAAATTGCCAATTGTTATCATGCCAGAAACTCGCAGCTTTAACTGTAAAGCTCTCAAGTCGTCTTGATATGTTCTTTCCCCTTCGTTTCGAGTTCTGTCACGTGAAAAATTGTTGACCATTTCCTTGCAATTCATGTTACAATTTTCCTTCTGAGAGGCTCTCTTCTGGGACCCCTTATGCTTACTTTCGCTGAAAGAGTCATGGCAAGCAGAAGCGAGCATCTTCTTCAAGATGGATATCCTAAGTTTGGTGGGAGGTTAAACTTCACGTGACTAGATTCAAGCTCATGTCACAATGCAAAGAACCCTCTCCCAAAGTTTAATTCGGTTCCATTGGACAGCAATTGATTTTGAACTTCCATAAAACCTCAGTCTTGTGTATCGCATGAGGAACCAAATGCATTTGTGGAAGGCTAATTCAAGCTGAACTTTTGTGAAAGGTCAGGTGCAGGATATCAAAGGCTGGCTGGCACCTTAAAGTAATGGAGGGCTGGGATGCATCTTAAAATCTCCATCTCTACTCTATTCAATGTCAGCGCGCATCAGGCCCTTTACCATCAAATTTCAACAATGTTGTGATGTACTGGTATAGGGCTGAGAGTTCTCCGGGTCCGGGTTCTTTTAGTGCAGCGCCGGGTCTCCACTAAGGAAACCAAGGATCGCCCCGGGCCATGACGTTTCCTAGTGGACGACCAGCGCTACCTCAAATGCTTGGTTCCATTCTTTGATCTCACTGCTCGCCTTGGGGGATTTTTCGTTGCGTCGTTATCACCAGTGATTAGAAGCGCGGGAGCGACGGATGATGCAGTCGGTATTTCATTACATCACTACCCTAGCACCCAACTAGCTTCAAGAGAGTCTATATATACGGCCATTCCTCCCTTGTTCGTAATGACTAATCTCACTTTTCCTTGAAATATATTTCTGTTCTCAGTCTTCTCAGATCTACCTCTCCAAGACTCCAACGTTGCTGTTCCCAAGACTCGACCTCATCGCTTCAAATCTGTTCGTCATGGAGGTCTGCCTCACTTCTCAAGACAATCCACGGTTGAAAGAGGAAGAGTTCCTCTAGTCCATGGATGCAAGCCTTTTTGGCAGGGATGCAAGAGCTCGAGTTCACTCCTTATCACATCGCGCCCGCAATCTCACGATGGAGGATCATTGGAGCAGGGACGCTTGAAGTCATCCACTCTTAATGGAATCCGGTGCACGAAATTGTCCATCTTCTGCTCGGCCCGGCTGTCTTCCTAACTTGTTCCCCAGAGAAGGTAGAACAAAGTTCACCAGCACTTATATCTTCACGCTTGCAGGGGTCAGCTCGCTAAGCGAGATCCACTAAAGGGGGCGGGCTCAGAACTATCGTGAGCCTCCTCCTCTTAACTACGGGAACGTCTATACCATGACTCACAAGAGAAAAAAATCTTTCGAATTCTTCGAGCTCTCTTACACGAAGCTAGGGACAATTAGCGCACACAGGAGTCTTAAAGAAGCCCCTTCCCTCCGTTCCGCGCTCTCCCTCCTTATCTTCCAAGTCAGCTCCTCATTGACGCGCATCGCACTTTCTCTTTCCCGAACACTCTCTCCCCCGTTCTCCATTATTTTTCTTTCCAGTCTTCGCCCCTTATTTCCTGCGCTTCCGCATCCTCCCTCTTGTCGTTTCATGGGCATCAGGGGTGGACTCACTGCAACAACCAGTGGAGTAGAGTCCTCTGCCAGTCAAATCGAGTGGGTGGGGCATGAGTCAAATCGAGGGAGGGTGGGCAGCGCCTGACCAACACGATCCGATTGTGGACGGTTGGAAAGGGGGCCCCGGCACGATCCAATTGTGGACGGTCGAGAAGCTCTGCGCTCGTGTCTCCCCAGCTGGTAGAGGCTCTTCTCTGCTGTAGTGGTGATGGGTATTTTCAAGGTAAGGATTATTCCAATGCGTTTGCTAACATGTCGTCGGCAGGGTGCTTAACATGGTCTGACCTTCGCGTTGGTGTTAGGCGTCAGTACCCAGATGGGGAAGCTAACAGACCACTCTTCGACGTCGTGAGAACGTCGTAATCGCGATTTCACGGGGTTGTTAAATTGAAAATGGAGAGGACTGAAGCTCTATACTGCGCATCGTGGATAGACACTCTTCACAATGACCATTCCCTCCTGCCACCTCGAGTCACTTCCATCGTGACATGTCATTGCCTCCAACTTCATCACCGCCAGTACTTCACTGCCGCACACCTCACTGTTGCCCATCTCATTTCTGCCTACCTCGCCGCCGGTAACCTCATCACCATCACAAGTCGTCCATCTGCCATCCTTTCTACCTTCAATCTTTCAAGTTTTGTGTAACCAAACAGTAAATCATCTACCACCACACTTGAGTCTTCTTCCACTCCCTCACATGGCGAACCCATTACCTTGTTAAAGTCCTGTTTCCGACATTGGTTGATATACAACTTTTGAATATCAGCAGAAACTGATTTAAGACCACCATTCAACAACATGCCGCAAAGGAGTTCTTTAGCTTTGTCAAAACTCATTTCTTCGTCGGATGGCACAGCGTAGTTGCATATTCTGGAGATGCTAGACCGTGGGCAGCATTTGGGGCCTCGGAAATTTCACCCCAAGAGGAGATAGTGACAGTGAAATGTAGCTTGACCACAGCCATGTATTTGACGACTGCAACACATGGACAGTCAGCATGCCACCAAACTGGCATGAAGAGGCAGAATCTGGAGAGAATCCAAACGGACGGGATACAGCAGCTGTGGACATAAATACCAGACAGCTGACTTCTGTTTTGCTGCAGATTCCATGTGCCCAGCCTCTTCTTTGTTTGTAGATGAAGCGCAGATCAAGGGCGCGAGGCTTTCCCATTATAAACTCCGGCGGTGGTCTGTAAGGGGGGGACAAGGAGGGCTCCGACTTCTGTTCGGCTGGCGTCCGAGGGCTGTTTTGGTAGTCTTCCCCTAGCTCTAACTGCATTGTAACATGGCAAGAACACCGAGGTTTCTCGCCCATTGGTTTCTCGGGATAGCTTCCATGGAAGGATAGAATGAAGGACAGATAGGAATGAGAAGGAGTATAAAATGAATCGGGTGACTGATATGCTTTCCGACCTATGCCACCTCGAGCAGTTGCTGATCGCAAGAAATATGGGAACAAGATAAGATTTTTCGATTTGCTACCTTGAGCGTCGGTATCTGCTATTGCCGGAGAGAGACGTATTTACGATTTGGAGTCTGTGAGATGCGCCGGCTGTAGAGTCGATGTCTCTCTAGACAAGTGAATGAGCTGTCCATATTGATAACGAAATTCGAACTGGCAACAAACAAGTGCTTGACAGCAAAAGGGGGGAGGAAATGCAATGGTCGATACGTCCTAGAATCATTAAGAGGCTTCAGAATCAAGCTACGTAGAGTAATGAACACGGATACTAAAATCCGATGCACCTGTCTTGAAGTCTGTAAATGCTCCTCTTTATCCTCTTCACACAGGGCGAGAAGTGGGACGTCGTCTTGGATCAATTCAATGCTATCGAACCCTGCGGCTACGTCAGCGCACGTAAACATAAATTTGATCGTCTCTATATAAGGGAACAAAGTCAGCCGACTTCTCTCGACGGTTCTCTGTAGGAGTTCCACTACTTTCGCAAGCTTCTGATCTGGGCTCCGGCAACACCAGAGGCTCGAATCGTCACCTCACCCAACTGAAGAGCAAGACACCGGGAAAGGCCCGCTGCCGCCGAGCTCCGATCGCACAAAGGGTTCGAAGCTCGGGTTTCAACTTTCAAACCAGTCCTGCCGTCCGAACTTTCGCTGTCACGATTCGTCTATTGTCGATTTTCGGCTCGTTGCCAAAACCCCAGCTCACAATCGTCTGATATTGTTTTTAAGCAAAAGGAGCACCCTCACCAACATACTTTTAACGTAGAATGTTCTTTGAAGTTGAGGACAGTCTTTGTGAGAACTCGAAGAGCTGCTGCCTCTTCCCCCCCTTCACCCAACTAGTTCCTCGACTGCGTCATCTCGGACGATGAACTGGAAGAAGCTACGCGTGAGGGGTCTTTTATACCTTCTGTATTAGCATGGCCAAGCCTTCCAAACCAAGCCTAAGCACAATGAAGGTCCATCTCTCCATCCTTCCCCTCAAATCCTTCATGTGGATGGAAAAGAGAACGTAAAAAGGGACTTAAATATTGCTTGAAGGGAGTTTCTGCTGTATGCAAAGCGCTTTTATTGCCGTCTGTACTGACGAGCATGAGCTGTATATGTAAATGTCCATCCCACCCAAATACATAACCTGAGATCCAAAACGCCGATTCCAGAGCGCCAGATGCATAGCATCACCAAGCCATCTTGTAAATATCCATCATGTGATTCCCGTTCCCGTCCATATATGCACAACATCCTATTTCATCAATCATAAACCATGCTCATTTCCGTGCCCACTCCACGCATCCGCCGGTTCAGAATTTCGCAAAGCTCACAGACTCAACCGATCCAAACTCAGCCTATCCCTACTCGTGTTCCTCCTCACAACACCCAGCTTAAAATACCTTTCCTCACCCGTCGCTGTCCGCCCACCAATATACCACTTCTCTGTGCCCAACACATCTTTGAACCCTTCCGAACTGGAATCACTCCCCCTCCGTCCTCTGCTCTTCGGAATATACCGTCCATTTTGCATGCCCTCTCCTGCCGTGCCAGGTGAATTCGAAGGGCCAGGCGATCGACTTAACGGCGACGTGGAATGTGTGCGTGGGGAATGTAACGCAGATAGTGCCGTCGTGGTGGCACTGGAAGGTTTTGTGGATGTCGTTATGGACCGTGGTTGTGATGGTGAAGTAGTGTGTGTTTGGTGTTGTGAGGGGGAGGAGGGAGAGGGTGTCGCTTTGCCTTGTTGTATGGCGTTGTGTGCCCGGAAGGCGGCGAGGACGTTGGCGAAGAAGGGGCGTTGGGTTGACATTGTGTTGTTCATGAGTCTCTCTATCCTCCAGTCTTCAGGAGGAGAGGAAGGAGAGGAAATATGGACAGCGATGGGAAAGGAATTCGCGGAGAGCTCGGATTGCGGGGTGGATCCGGATGTGAGAAGATAGGATATTGGGACAAGGCGAACGAACGGGTCGGTTTGACCCGCGGTGCGAGTGAGAGGCAGGACTTTGAAGGCTCTGCTCTGCCGGCCGAGTATGGCTACTCACAACCAGCCAGTCGAAGAGAGAGTTCCCCGCTCGAGAGGCGTCGTCCGCTGGTATGTTCGGTGTATCTAATCGGCGTGCATGTAATCGAAAACCGTTGACTCGTCAATTCTGCTGCAGTGCGATCCTTCTGCTCAGGTCACCCAGGTTGAAGAAGATGAGAGGTGGCAGCAGTTGGTGTGGAGGGGAGAGGGCGTGGAGTGCGTAGTTGAAGAGTCTAAGTGGGGTGACGGAGGAGGAATGGAGGCTTTTGATGTTGTTCAAGGCGAGGCAGAACTCGGGATGTCAGATGTCGCTCCGTCGGGACCTCGCTTGATGAGATAATGCGGGACGATTGGGAGTGGGGACATGGGGGCCCTCTGCCAATCAGACGAGAGCAAATCCAAAGCAAGCAGGGAAATGCGGAGAGAGGAATAATCCGGATTTTGGGCAGCAGCCTGCGCCATTATTACTAGGCACGGCGTTTGCCTTGGCCCGTCGGGGGAATGGATTCGAGGAGGAGGAACACCAGATAACCGTTCTTTGTTTTGTGGCCTGATGCCTTTGAGAAGGCCTCCCTCCTACTTCCAAGCTCCGTCATTGTGGTTCAAAGAAGCAAATTCAGACTCAGCCCCGATTTGAGGCGGCCAATGAGATGGGAAGCTATGCGGGACATGCATGAGTTGTCCTTTTGATCGTGATAAGGCGATGCGGGATGGGACGCGGGTTATCAAAGAGGAGGAAGCCTTCCGTAATGTTGGTCACGTGGGCCGAAGAATGTCGAACTCTCCCATTCCTAGATACGTGAACTCTAAACAGGCAAAGTTGTTAAATAGATAGAGCAGAGTTATACAATAGTATAGTAGCTCTGTTATAGCGCAATTGCGAGCGGCTCCTAGTCTTTTGCTTAAGAAGCAATTAGTTGCTGCTTGACGCTCTTCTCTCACTATCCCACAATAGCGCAAGATGAACTAGACCATCGAATATCACTTCTAAAGCCAGCGATATCCTAATAATGAGTACAAAATATGTGATTGAACTTGGAATTCAAATTTTCACTGACTTCCATAAAACCACGTGACCATCAATTCTGAGCCTCCAAACATCTCGATCCCGGCAGCCGCCGACCCATCGAAATCCAATTCGCAGCACCACCTCACCTCCCTCTCTCTCAATTGAGCCACCACAACACCTCTTCCCACAAACCCAATACAATGTCCGGCGAAGTACGTCTCTCCCTCAGCTTGCGCTCCCTCTTTCCCCTCTTCAATGTCACTGACTGGATCTCTACGATAGTTCCACCCCTCAACCGGCATCCTGCCACCAAAGGTCCAGCCCAAGTATCAGACTTACAAGAGTCCTTACGGTCCGAAGTGAGTTTTCATGGTGACATAAGAGAGGGCGAAGTGGGAAGATGGGAAGAAGCTGATGGATGCAGATACACGGTGCAAAACAATCTTCGCGGATGGACCTTCAAGAGTGCTAGCAGACTGTATGTCTCCTTGCACCTCCACACGCACTGCCGAAACACGCACAAATCATAAATTGAATGGGGGAGAGTAGGATGGGCATATGCTGATGTGGTAACAGGGGAATGACACTCGCCGGCTTCGGCGGCGTCGCAGGCTTCTTCGCGGTCTACTTCTTCTCCGACGTCCCGCGCGTACGGAAGGATATCTGGCAGAAGATCCCGATCATTGGGCAGTATTATGTGAAGGAGGTTCCGGCTAGTGATAATGTGGGTTCAGACTTCCTTTGCGTCCGAGTTGGGCCTTGTGATGAGGAGAGAAGGAGATTTGAGATGGAATTGTAGGATTGGTGAGGCAAGGAACTGGTTCTGGAGAACGAGAAGAGGAAAGGAAGGGGCTGGGGGGAGCAGGGGATGGCGAGTGCCTTCTCTTCTCTTGCTTTGCAGAACCGCTCGCAACACGGGATTGCGGACAGGCAGTTTCTTTTGTTTCAATTCTGCTGCGAATAGTGCTGACATTCCGCACAGCCCTTCTAAACGGTGAACAACCGATCGAGTCCAGGGTAGTAGAGGTGGAGGTTTGGGGGGAAGAGCGAGCATGGCAGACACCACATTGTACAAAAGACTGCGAGAAATAGACCGTTGTTGATTTCGAACCTGGAACTTTTGCAAACCAAGTTCATGATGATGTTCTGGATATATATGGCGCGGATCCTGGCGTCGAGTGGGAGAGTGAGGCGACAGTTCCACCTCGAAACCATTGCAGGAATTGAGTAGCAAGCGTGGAGGGTCACAGCACGGCCAAGTGGTCTCCGTGCAGAAACCCTACCACTATCACCTCTCCCAATGTACCGCCAGTTCTTGAACAGTCGAGTCCCAACCTTTCAGCTATTCCCCAGTTGCCGAAACATTCGAGCCCTGTGTCCTTTGAAAGTCCCTGGAGTTGTGGAACATTCATATTCTGTCCCTTTCGAATATCCCATGGGCTATAAAGATTCGAATTCCGCTCATTCCAAACCTACCCATCTGTGGGACATTCCATATCTCCTCTATCCCACTACACCCCCAAGGTGCGTTGGTCTCACCATATTCACCTCAAGCGAGAACGATAGGGTCTATATAAGCTCTGCATAACCGTTTTCACACCATCATATTTCTCAATTTTTTTAAATTTTTTTTTGAACTGCTCATCTGCAATCCGAACGCAGCAAGAGGGAAGAATTAGATTGTTACAGACATAGTCCATCCCTCCCCATCGCTGTTCACTCTTCATTTACAAAGCATGGATGAGAGTAAAGTTATATATAAAGGTACTTGTAGCTATCCTTTGCAAGAGGAGACGGACAGCTAGCAAGGGGTAAAAGAAATACTAAAAAGGTCGACTTTCTTAAAGTCCTTTAAAAAACTATAAAAGTGTCTAAAACTATTAAAGCAATATCTCTAATTATAAGTCTATACTTACTTTTTTTTAATTAAAGGTAATGTGGCGGGGATTGAGCTGACATTTGGCTAATCACGTGTCTTTCACGTGATTCCTTGGCTCCTCATTCCTTTTTGTATTTAGCATTCTTCCTTCTCACGAAGAGGACCTTAAGCAATCCAATACACACTTCACCCGCACGATGCCTCCTTGATTCGTGGTTACACCCACTCGATTTCTTGTCATGTGTTATGTCCCCTTGTACCCCTCTTTAGTAATAAGTATAGGGTATTTTCTGGGCAATTGCCTGGAATATAGGGGTATTTCGAAGTTAATTATCAAAGAAACAGGGCAAATAGTGGGCCGCGAGCACAAATGCTCTGAAATCCTGTCACTTTATACCGAGATCTGCGTACATCGTAAATACATGATTAATACCCTCCTCCGCTTAGGGCCATAGGTACTAATATCAAAGTGAACAAACTCTATTCCGTAAACCTTGTAGTGAAAGATATCAGAAAGAAATAGAATTTCAACCGAGGGATGAGTAGCTGTTAAAGTAAGGGCCAACTCCAACCAATCACTCGATTTTCAGCACAAACTAGTCAGTTCGAACCCCCTTTGTTTTATACTAGTTTCAGGTTGAAACCCTGGCTATTGCAACACGTCAATGTTGATTATTAATTGACTCGCTGGTGGGAGCCGATTATGCAAGGAAGGAAATGTTTTCTTCTTCTTCAAAAAGTCAGCTGATCTCCAGCATTTCTCGGGCTAAAAGTCACAAAGTGGAAGTACATATCAACCCCCCCCCCCAACAAATAAGATCTAAATATTTTGCGCTCCACACCCTCCTCGCCTTCAGCACCTCGATCTAACCGGCGGTCTGGGTCGTGGTGAGAGAAAGGGATATATACGCAGGAGACGTGGTGCTTGTGAAAGTTGCAAACAACGGAAAGTACGCTGTAAGTGAACGTTGGAACCACACAGAGATTCCCTGACTCATCTACCATGGACCTGGCTAATAAATTCAGGTGATGGCGAAAATCCTTGTGCACCTTGCCATGTTCGTCCAAGTTGAATCCGACTTCATAATTGAGACTGTCTAACGTAACGCTGCTTCTGAATAGCGTTCGAGCACTGTTTGTCAATACAGCAACAGCCCTGGCCGACCGAAATTATCCTCGCAGAGTAGCCCTACATCAGATCATCGGTCTGCGACCCTCCTTGCCAGCCCCTCATTTGGTCAACCTTCTCATGATCTTCTGTTTCCTTATGAAGAAAACAGCTGGCCTTCAATACCACAGCTTACCAGCTTTAATGAGGACGCCCCTTTAGTTGGAGATCTTTCGGGTTCAGGTCTTTCATGGCAAAACTTATGCGGAACTCCTGATTCCACTTTCCGGGAATTCATCGAAGAACCACCACCACCGAGTATTTACTCTCCGCTTGCTAAAGGCTTTTCGAAATGTATACTAGAAAACGACTTGAGAACATTGCGGGACCAGCAAATGCGCGTCAGTCCTCCTTCGGACCTGTCGTCGCAAGATCAGCGGGCAAACAGGACTTCCCAAGAAAAATGGTTAGTGGAACCAGCGTTAGGAAAAACTTAATATTAATTGGATCAATTCATTAGTGCCATAATCTTTTTATAGGCAAGCCACCTCTCTCTCTTGCCTTCCACGCAGCTTATGGCTAACCAATCATAGTCCGTGCACCAAGCATTGAATTCTCCGCCAAATCAATATTCTCTGATTTCAGATTCGTGGATAAATGAAATATTCAAGGAAGATAATCAAATTTTAAGCACATTTGACAACCTGAAAGCTCAAGAATGGACAATAAAACGGCCCCCGGTTTCATCTAATCCACGTGAATCAATCTACGACGCGAACACCCAGTCCTATATTGACGGTATTTGTACTCAGACAACTTCATTCTATGATTTTACAACAAGAATAGCGTGCTATGATGAGCCTTTTGGGTATGTGCATCAGCAGAAATTCAGAACGAATTAAATTGACATCAAATCCCAGTTTATCAGTCTTTCTGACAAAAGATTTCTTGAATATGGTCGCATCCCAAGTTCTAGTGGAAAACACCAACTACATTCTCTCTATTATTTTACTAAATGCTGTTCTCGCAATCGGTTTCTATATAGTAAAAGTCGAACGAGGTGGTGATGTCACAGCAGGACTAGCGGAAGCCTACGCGCGGTTTGACGTAGCAGAAAAGTACCGGAGTCTACTTGCGGTAGGAGAGCACTCGAAAGAGAAATTCCTAGTATGGGTCTTACCTTCCTACTTTTGATATTGCAAGGAAATACCCCTAACGTTATCATAGGCTGTATTGACAATGGTACCCCTCTTGAAGTGTGAAGCTTTTTGAAAAGGCACCTTAGTTGACTATTTCATAGCTTCTATTTGCGCGAAAATGCAGTCTCGAATTAGTATCCAGTCTGCTTACTGCAGCAACTAGTACAGCAATGGCTCTTGTTCTAACCAGTATCAGCTCAATACAAGAGCTGTGTGGTACGGAACACGAGCAAATATATCTTCAACGAGCATTCTGGCTCTTGTATTCGATAGAGAAATTTCACTCGCTTCGTCTTGGCCGTTACTCGGTGCGTATTTTTCCTCTCATTATTCCGCAAGATTGACATCAAACGTTAATGTCTGAAAGAGGATCGAAGACGACTTCATCGACCATCAGCCACCTACCCAAGTCCCCGAACGCAGGAATTCATCCCCTTTTTCTCAACTATGGGCTGTGCACGAAGTAGAGCTCGATAGACTACTCCCCCAATGCCGCTTCGCAAAAATCTGCCATTTAATAACCAAGCAACTCTACACACCATCTGGACTCCAAAAATCACCCTCAGAGCTCTCATGCAGCATTTCTCAACTAAGCGCTCTCTTGAAGGAATGGAAAGACTCGACCCCTTCTTCCCACAAACCACTCGATGTCGGAACTTCCTCCAATTATCCACACGCACTATCCAGTGCAACTCAGGAGTGCCTCCACCTGTCGTACCAGTATTATGAGGCTCTGCTAGCAATCCATGGTCGTTGGCAACTAACTGATCCTTTACACCTGACTGCAGAAGATAATATATCTCTTAGCCGGAGTAGGGAGACCTGTTCTAGTGTGGCCAGAATGGTGCTGCTGATGAGCAGTGAGATTCGACTAAAAGAGCTATTCTCTGATTGGTAAGTTTCACCCTTGCATTTCTCTCGTTAGGGCCTTTACATCTAATCTCCACTAGGGCTATGACGCAACTTCCTATGTGTGCAGCTTTTATACTTTTTCTTGATCTCTTTAGAACAGAAGAAAACGATGCGAAAAAGAAAACCCTTCCGTATTTGAGTATTGCAGATGGATTATATGGTAAACTGGCAATACTAGGAGAAGGGCCATATGAAGAGATGCTCAGTTTAAGTGCTTTTGCATACAGAATATAAAATGAAGAAGATATCCAATACTTAGCATGGAAACCATATCAAGCTTGTGTGACGGACTTGGCCCCGACCTTCACGTACCTTCTCTCTGACCCACTCTCCCTCAGTGTTTCGATTTGCCCACCCTCTCCTCAGCCCGGGCCCAGGATCGGCAATGATATCTCATTTCGGGTATTAATTCGTATTAATACCAGAATTATAGAATATTATTATTATTATTAATTATAAACTCAATCTCTAATTTATAAAGTACTAATTAAATATTATTTTAATATATTTCCTGAATATATTTATTATTCTATTAAGTTTCTAATAATATATAATTAAAAATAATTAAAAAAGTCTTATATTAATAAATTAAAGCTACCAAAAACTCTTTAGTTTAATTAAATAATGCTTTATAACTCAGTTAATATTATAGGCCAGGCCTTTATATAAAGAAAACTAGTAATTTAATTAATTAAATAAAATTCTTTAAGAAAAAAAAAAAAGAAAAAAGAAATACAAATTGTATTTTATAAAACATTCGAGCTTTCTAAATAATACGTAATTACTTTATTAATTTAAGAAAGCACGTTATATAATATAGGCCAGAGCCTTTATTATATAATCTAGTAAAGGCTTCTAGTTAAATATATAAATCGGGTCTTAACCTATTATAATTAATTTAATTCTTATTTCTAATTTCTTTTATAAGGGTTTTAATAATATTTTTTATTTAATAAAAGTATTAATTTCATAAAGAGGCATACTTTATTATTTAATAATAAGGCATTAATATTAAAAGAATTAGTATTTTTTTTAAAAAAAAAATTAATAAGTTTATAAATTTGCTTAAATAGTACCTTATAATTATACTTATACTCTCTAGCTATATTTGTATAATTACTAAACCTCCTTCTTTGAATTAAAGTAACTGCATTATTATTACAACATGATTTAATAAATTTATCGTTCATTTTGTCCTGCTAGTAAACGTGATTTTTCGCGTTTTGGTGAGGGACTTCGGTTAAGCGGGAGCTCGAGTACATTGCTCCCGTGGCTCGCGTCTTAGGAAACCACGGCCGCCCGCGCTCTCTAGTTCGCTGCGCTGGTCAACCAAAATTCTCCTCTCTTTTCTAGGTATTAGGGCGGACGTGGGTGTTGTAAGTAAGCATTGCGCCACCCGATTAAGTTAGCAGGGGTCGACTTTAGAGTCGACTTCGTCAAAGTCACATAATATATCTCTATAGCCTTGTCCAAACAACGACGTGGAATCATGTGCAATCGTTGCCCCTAATGCAACCTTCGCAGTTACTGAATTGTGGGTCGCGAGGTTACAGAACCGGTGCGAATTTCTATATGCAAACCGGCAGCTATTTCTAGATGAGGTTGAGATGCCTGCCGATTGGGGAGACGTTAGATGCCGTTTGTGGAGTGTTCGGAGCAGCCCGAAGAGGATTTCAAGGCAAGCAGTACAGAATTGGAGGCGCCTGGATTGAATTACGAAAATGGCTCGCCCGATTTTAGGCTGATTTTAATACTAAGACGAACATTTGCCAATTATCGTACTGTTTGTTCGCAGTTTCCTACAGTGGCTTGTTTAACCCATGCAGAAGCGTATTGCGTGTAGGTGTCTTGTTGCAACCTGGCAACCTTCTTGGTTCTTTGTTGGATAACAGAGACTGCTACTGGTGATTGGCCCAGCCACCGCGTTTCGGCTGGGGGCATAAACAGCATAACATGAGCATGAGTTTCTTATGATATCTGGTCCTCAAGTCAGTTCGAAGACAAGATTAAGCTATCCCTGATTCTTCACAATTCAATATATTATCCTCCAAATCATGGTTATCGAATCCATCCTACAGAGGTTTTGGCAAGTTGCCATTAAACAGTGGCTGCCATGTCAACAAATTAACTTAATCCGCAAGAAGGTAAATTTCGACCTTGTGCAATCTTGGGCCTTGCCGCACATATTCCTTGGAAATCTGGAATGACATTTACATTAGCCCGTGGGGTATTTTACTCCAAATATCGATTATTTGCGACTCTATCACAAGAGGCAAGTTCGCGTATCTGAAAGCAGTCCACATTACTAACGACCCCATTTCCAGATCTGACAATAATATCTACCGTGACCCAAACAAACGAAGGGACCGCTCTTATAAACCCAAGCGCAAGAAGAATAAGGGTAGAAAGAAAACGAACTCCACAAAAGGCTCTAGTTAGTCCGGCATTAAATATGGTGGTGCTTCATGGGGGATTGGGAAGGAAAAAGCGGCTATGGAAGCCGAGTTTGTCGTCAATTGCTGCGACCGTAGGCAATTCAATTCCGTTCCATGAGCTTGCCTTCCACAACCTCTAGATTCCTAAGTCCTGTGTCTGACAATATTCCTCCTTCTGATCCCACTGCCTGTCAAGTCGAGATTGAAATTCCTGGTAAAGCGTATGAGGCCGTTGTTGGGTCAGATAGCAATAAATTTGAAGCATTACTCACTCAATCGATTATTACGTGAGAAAACAAATATAAATGTTGTTATTACATACTATAAGAAATAAATTATAAGAGATTCTTTCTAATACTTTACTTTACTCTTTTAATTAATATCTCTTATTAATATATTATAACTTTTATTATATTTTTTTTTTAAAGTAAATATAATTACTTTTTTAAATACTTATAATAGGCCTAATATATTATTATATTTTCAAAAAAAAAAATTATACTTTTTATTTTTCTATTATTTTTATATTAGTATTCTTTTTATATTACTTTTCTTATTTTTAATAATTTAATTAATAAAGAATAAATATAAAAAAGTAATTAGTTTAAAATAAGTTAATATAATTAATATAAGAAATATATATTATAAAAGATTTCTAATATTATAAAAGGAAATTAAAAAAAAGATTAAAGGAATTAAATTCGAATTTATAAAAGTAAATAGTTTTTATATTATAAAACTATAAATGCTTTTAATATAATTAATAATATTATATTTTAAAATTAAAGAAATTTAAGAAATTTAATTTAATTTATAAAAAAAAGAAATAAAAATAATAAAAATAATAAAAGATTTATATATAATTTTATTATAATATATATTTATTTATATATAATAAATACTAATTAATAATTCTTATATATTTTTATTATTTCATTTTATATATTATTCGAGGCTTTTATTTAAAAAAGTATTATAATTTAGTTTTTAATCTTATTAGTTAATATAATTATTTATATTTTATTACTTATATTCTATTACTTTTAAAATATATATAATATAGCTATTTTATTAAAGAAATATATTTGAAATATATTAAAGATATTTAGAAAACTAAGTCTCTTATAAACTAGTATACTATAAGATATATATATTCTTTTTAAATAAACTAATTTAGAACTATTAGAAATATAAATATTATTAAAATAATAGAATTTCAAAAATATAAATAATAGATTTTAGAAAAATAAAAATAAAAAGCTTTAGAATCTTTAAAAAAATTAGATAGTTATATTTTTATAAATATATATTAATAATATATTAAAAATCTCTTTTAAAAATCCCGAAAATTAAAAAATCTTATATAAAAGCTATTTTTTAATTAAGTTTCAAAATAATAAATATTTATAAACTAGTAATTTAATTATTATTCTTAAATTCTATTTTATAATTTTATAGGCCCTATATATATACTAGTAATAAAATTACTAATAATATATATAAAATACTAATATATTAAAATTAGTAAAATAATTATTATTTAGAAATAAGAATTATAGTATTATAATATTAATATATAATTCCTAAATCTACTAAGCCTAATAGAATCTAGTTTACTAGTTAAGTTATTTATAGAATATAAGATTATATAACTATATCTTATATTTTATATCTTGTTATTTATATCTTATTACTTGTATTTCTTTTCCCGAATTCCGTAATTATATATATAATTCCCGAAGAAATAATTATACTAATAATAAGTTATATTATAAATTTCTTATTTTCTAAATATTATAATTATAATTATAAACTTATATTTTTATATAATAAGAAATTAATAAAGTTTATAATTTTATTATTATATCTTTAAGCTTATTTACTTATATAATAAAACTATTTCCTATATATATTATTATTTAAACTATTATAATTATAATACTAAGCTTTCTTTTTAAGAAAATTAAATTAAATTATTAATTTCCTTTAATTATTATTAAAATTATTATATTTTTTCTCTTTTTTTCTATATAAATAAAAAATAGTTTTAATAATTCTATTTTTTAAATTAATATATAATATATACTCTTTTTAGTTTTATAAGTAGCTTTATTAAACTAAATAATATATTTTTATGAGTTAATAAAATTAGCTTATTAATAATTTAAAGAAAGTTTAAATTTTTAATTAAAAATATATATAATAATAATATATTATAGCTTTAAAAGAATAATAAAGAATTATAGTTTTATAATTAAATTTATATCAAAATATATAAAAGAAAATAAGTAAAATAATAAACTAAATACTAGAAAGAAATACTTTTATTAATAATAAATATATTAAAAGTCAAAAATAAAAGGCTTTAAAATATAAATAATTATTTTATATAACTTCTTAAATTAAGACTTATAATAAAAGTTATAAAACAAGAAATAAAAAACCTTATTATAATACTTTATTATAAAATATATATAAAAGTAATAATAATTATATTAAAAGTTCGGGAATTTAAAAGCCTTTTTATTACTATTTCATTTTTTATTATTTCGAAGTTTTTTCTTTAATTATTTTTTAAATAATAAAGTATATAATAGTAATCTTTTTATTATATATATTAGATTTATAATTTATATTATATATTTTAAACTTCGATTATTTAATTTCAAATTAATACTTATATATAATATATTTAATATTTTTTAAAAATTAATTCAAGCAGAGAAGCTTTCTTTAAATATTTAATTAATAATATTACCTTATTAAAGCTTTTAATAAACTAAATTAATTAAAGCCAGAAAGTATACAAGAAGTTAACTAAGAGCTAAGATTCTTTTTAGTAATTATTTTAAGTACTTGTATATAACGGGATATTACTAGAGCATTGGTTTTAGGAAGTTGCTTCTTTTAACTAGGGTTATCTTTAGAACATATAATGCCAAGCCGCCCAGGTGAACCTGGTCCATTATATACAGTCAGTCCAGGCGGGTAGTCCAGGCCCACGTAAAAAGAAAACAGCCCTGCCCACCCATTGGGAGCGCTGTTGTGGAGTGCTCTGGCGGAGCTCTACTACAGTTAAAAGTCGTTATTAACAGCAGCCCTTAATCTATTAACTTCTACTGCTAAAACTTGATATTACAACAACGACGTCTATGCAACACATGCATATGCCTATCTTTCTAGTCAAAGTGCGAGAGAAGCGATTGAATTGCTAATATAACGAGTGTAGACCTCTCAAGTGTATATACTACTATAGAGGGAAGCGAAATGGCAGTTTCCCAATTGGTAGCGTGACAATCACTTGTAAGAATAGAAGCGGACTTTGAAAAGCCGCGTGCATGTACCCCAATTTCAAGACAAATAAGAAATCCGCCACTTGCAATAACCCTTCATTCCATCAACTTTTGGTCTGTGTTCATTTCCCTTATATCCGGACTCAGAAATCTTGCTAAAAAGATGCAACTGAAGTCATATAACCAGAGCGACTTAACTCAAGTTTAGAGTTCTTGGCTGGTTATTGAGTCTGAGGACTAGGTTCCCTATTCTTCGGTGACAAAAGCTCTTGGCTCACTGATGAAAGAGCGCCCATCAACCTCAGTGGTGGATCCTCTCTTTGCCTTCTCAGCCTCAGTGACGAAAGAGCGCTCGTCGACCTCGGTGGTGAAGCTACGTTTGGCATTCTCAGCCTCAGTGATGAATGAGCGTTCGGTGGTAAAACCACGCTTGGACTTATCCGCAGTAGTGAAAGAACGAGGTTCGGTAATGAATGACCGTTCGGTGGTCAAGGATCGAAGCTCGCTAATAAAAGCACGCTCCTCAACCTAGACTGAGGTTCATTGAAGTTAAATCTCTTTGCAAAGCAGCGATCTGTTCCCTACAGCAATTTTAACATCCATTCGAAACCATCGCTCAGCGTGACGCGCAAAGGTACTTACACATTCAAAGTACCAGACAGCAACTCCAGCGTCTCAATATGCGTAGAAAGCAGACCTTCAAGTCGTCTGATTTTGTCCCGATCAACCACGAACCCCATTTTGGCTTGCAGTTTCTTCAGCCCCTTACCACCTAGCTTATCATGCAGCTCTTGTATTGTACCTAGCAACTCATTGACATCACTGCTAAGTCCCTTCACGACCTCGTCCCATCTCTGCAGATGAGCCTTGATCGCTGAACTTGCATCGCTACTTCGCAGCAGGGTTTCGAATTGCGCTAGACACCCTTGAAGAGTCTTGAGACGATCATAGACGCCACGAATCTCCTTTGGGGCACTTTGCGCTCTGTCTACTGCCGCAGTGATTTCGGCGATCAGGCCCAGAATGGCTCTTGAGAGGCCGGCGGCATCCATAGTGAAATGCACGGACGAAAGTCAGGTCGTCCGCAATGCTCAGTGCACTCGCATCCTCTGACAGCAGTGCATGTGTTATGGCCACAAAGTTGGGCTTCGTGGTGCAGTTTATAGGACTTGTAGATTGAGTTGTGGGCATGAAAAGAGACTAGGCTATCCTGCGATGGCACATTCATCGTGCAGCGACACGTGATGTTCAACTTAAGCAAGAGTTCATGCAACCGGCCACTTGCCGATCTGGATCTAGGGCATGGTATGTGCCACTTAGGAAATACTAAGTATTGAAATGTCGTTATTGGTTTAGTGTGAGTAGACCATGAAAACTTCCAGGCTGAACGTTAATGGAAAGTCAATGGTTCTTAACTGCCTCCGTCTATGAGAAATTAGCGCTCATGTCCCGGATGACCTCTATAATTACCGTATTATCTGGTGTATATGACCATGGTCTTATAGCCCGTTCCACACCCTAAGAATTCGCCAGGGAATGGTCTTAAGCCTAAGAGGGTCTAGTAATATGTCGATCCCACTAAAAACCGCTTAGTATATGGTGTTATACTTACCCCCTTAATTCCTCACCCCTTTATTCCTCACTCCAATTCTCCCTTCTAAACTCCCACCCGCACCACCAATTGCTCTTGATATTTTACGTACCCAATTGATTCCATATGGCTCCCGGAGTTGTGCCTGCCATACGCCTATCTACCTCCCTTAAAAGGGGGCAAACCACTATCTAAACAGCCCTCAATAGTAGCCTAATATTCAAGTCTCCTCCACGTTCTGGGCCAGCTCCCAAACCTGCTAGTCAAGCTAATACTATACTTGGCAGACATATAATTGGTAGTCCGAGAGAGAAAGAGGTTCAGGAGCTTTTTGCGGCTATTCGTCTTATATAAAGTAAAAATAGTAAACCAGGAGATATTAATATTATTTAGGGGCGATTTCCTATAGTAAAAGAGAATAAGGAATTCGATTATATACTAATAAAATAATACGCCTACTTGCGGAAGCAAAAGTTAGCTACTATTAATTACTTTTAATTAATATAAAAGAAGAAGCAAGATAGTACTTATAAGCGTTTTTCTAATTAATATACTTCTAAAAAGCTCAAAATTATATATAAGTTATTCCGCTATTGAGATATAAATAAGAAGGCAATTTGATCTTAAAAAAAGGCTCTTTTAGGGGCAAATATAGCTATTCTTATATATAGGAGCCTATAATAGAATAGTAATTAAATAGCAATTTTAAAAAAGCAAGAGAGAAAGGAAAGAAAATATTATATAAATAGATAATTTACTATACTTAATAAATATATACCGAATTATACCCTAATTAAATTATTTACTATAAATATAGCAAGAAGACTTATCTGGGCTTTTAATTTTCCTCCGGCTAGTATAATAGATTTAGAAGATAATATGAAATTTCCTTAAAATATAAAATAAAAAAAGTATAAAAGTTTCCTAAATAACTAGAACTAGTTATTAAAAATTAGATATAATTCAACTATTAAATAATAATAATAATTAAGGGGAAATTAATTATTAAAATACTATAAGGCCCTAATTACCTAGTTATTAGTTGAATTAAGCTATTAGAAATCTGTAATATAAATTAATCTCCTATATTATTTAAGTATCTTTATAGATAAATATATATTAAAAAGGGATTAGTAATAGTTCATTTAAAGAAAGAGAAAGCTGGCTATAATTAATATTAATTTATACTATAAATCGTAGTCTTTATAGATAGAGTTCCTTACTATAAGCCTCTCTTAATCTATAAAGAGAAGCCGGAAAAGGGGAATTCTCAATAGTAAATAGAATATAAAAAGTATTATCCTGGTATAGAGATGATTTTTAATAAAAAGACTTGGGCTAATATCTTTAATCTCCTTAATTAGGTTAAGAAATAGTACTTCTATATCTCTATATATTTTTTCTATAAATATGAACCTCGAATCCTTACCCTTAATTTCTTTAAACCATATATAAATAAAAAGAGAAAAGAAAATAGAAAGCCTGAATTAGAAAAAGCGAGAATTAAAAGAGAAATAAAGGAAAAATTATAATAAGAGCTCTGTAACTTATTTAATAAGTTAAAGATTATAATATTAATTATTTCTAGAGATTATATAAACTATCTTTAAGTTCTTAATATTTTAGTTAATAAGCTTATTAAGATATATATAATAGAATAATAGAATACTTAGATTAATTAGAATATAGAGCTATATAAATCAGGAAAGTAGTTAGTTAGAAATTACCGGATTTTAATAAACTATTAGATTATATATATATAGAAAAGGGTTTATAAAAAGTATAAAGAGGCTATTATTAAATGCTTCCTGAATATAAGTTTAGTATTACCTATTAACGGCTTATAAGATTATCTTTTAAAGATACGAGACCTTCTATAGCTTATATACGGCAATTAGTAAAAGGTAAGAGCATGCGGCATTACTTGTCGTACACGTGATTTACTTTACTAACCCTACCAAAATCGCGATTTTTCAGCCCATACTCTAATATAATTCCCAAAATAATTAAAGTACTAGATTTATTAAGGCTTTAGTATATAGTAGCCATACCCTTACTATTAATTACATCTTCTAGCTTATAAGTAAGCCTTTCCGTCAAATATTGCTATTCTATTAGATTAACTTTACTCTATAGCTCTTATAAGACCTCCTTTATATCCTTAATTAAAGTAGAAACAGTTTCCAACTTTATAATCTCATTTTTCATCTATTGCCAGACCTTCTTAATTAGATTTAAATCAGGAGAAGAGGGAGGCTAATCAAATCCACGTAATCTATAACTTTCGGAATAGCTTTGCTATACCCTTATGAATCTTTGCCCCGTCTTCTATAAACTTCTTCTTTTACTCTATAATTAAGGAGTCAAACCAAGGAAAAATAATAGGATTAAGGACTTGGTTCAAGTAGGCTATACTATAAATTCCCTTCTTCCCTGGCTCCTTTACCAAGAAAATAAGCAGGGACTTCTAATCCTAGCTAATCGCTCTCCAAACTATTACACTTACTTTACCACTCCTGTATAAAGATTATATATAATCTGGGTAATTCTTCTCATCCGGCCGACGTATAACCCAAATTCTCCCTCTCTGGTAAGGCCTGTAACCTCCCTAATTTGGCTATAGCTTTTCCCTTACTGGCGGAGTAAGCGAATAGTAGTATAAACAGGAGTTCTCCCGTTCTTATTAGGTTAGTAATCCTTAAGAACGGACGGAGAGAGGATATTTGAGATTTCTGAGTCTGATTCTGAGTCTTCTATTATTATTATATAATAATTAAAGAAGAAAAATGGTAGTTTGTGAGAAAAGAAGTGGTGAAGTGTGGGTTTCGGTAAGGGGTAGTCACGTGTTCGCTTAGGTGTACGACGAGCAATGCCGCATGCTCTTACTATAACGGCTGGTATTACATGGTTAGTTTCAGCCAAAGGGGTTAGTTTCAGCTAAGGTTTCAAGCTATAGTTCAAACCAAGCTCGCTTCCAAAGCTCGGCGTTTCAGTGGTTTTGGCCATACCTACTTATCCACTGCCACACTTCACTCCTTCTCTCCTTAGCTTTAGGTTCTATAGAACATTAGAATTATAGATCTTTGAGTATCGTTCTATTACTTTGTTCCTGCCGTTACAGGTACCGGAAGGAGATAAGGAGAACCCTATAGTAGTTAATAGAGAGGCTAGGGAGATAATTAAGGTTAATAATAATGATTTAGGCTATTTATATACTATAAAAGAGGTTATAAAAGGAATTATAATTAAGGAGAAGGATAAGAATAATATAACTACTAATTCAGGTATAGAGTTAGAAGAGAGGTTTAATCCTGAGATTAATAGACTATCTAAATCAGATTTTAATAAAGAAGTTAATAGAAATGAAAATATTAATAATAAGAATATATAAATATAGTTTTATTATCCTTTTCTATTATATTTTCTAGTAAAGCCGCAAATTATATATATTGAGAATTAGCCAAGAAATCTGCCAGAGATTACTTGAATTGCCTCAAACTAGCCAATTAAAATTAGCTTAGTAATATAAGACCATGGTTTTATATTACTAAGCTATTGCACCAGGAATTGCTCTGGAAATGGTCTTTTATTAGGGGGTGGTCCTGAACGAGGGGGGGGTCATATACACCAGATAATACGGTATAGGGGGTTACAGCGCTCTGACGGAAAGATTACAGGGCATTATAGCGCTTCGACACTGTAATCTCGAGATTTTTGTCCGCTAAAATCATAGCTTTCCTTGAGATGAATAATTAGTTCTATGAAAATTAATTATTCTCCTTAAATTGTTCTTCGAGAACATGGGCCAATCGTTGATTCAGACGACCGAGTAGCTTTCACTCCACATACCCTGACCCTGACCTCAAATAGCCTATTCCCATCATCCCGTGAATGACTAATAATTCCCCCCTAAATCGGATTTCAGCCTCACTCGCTTCTCGAAGCTTCCAAACTGGGGTTTCAGGGTCTCCTTACCAACCAAGCAAGGCTGACGCCTCGCCGACAACCCCACAGCCCCTCAAACTTCGTCCTTGACTTACTTCTTCCCACAATATCAGCACCTGTTCCATATTCCCGGATCATCAGGCGTAGTTGCCTAGATCCAAAGCCTGCCTATCCCCGCAGTCCGCCCGCGAGGGAGCGCTGTTGGCCGATTACGGCGCACCGCCAAGTGCCAACGAGGCTGAGCTTTGCCCCACTACAACGAACAAGACACCCCTCCATCACCTCCCCCTCTTTGATGTTGACTCTTTAACGACAGGCACGTCATCTCTGCGACACTCTCTCTCTCTCCTGCGACATCTCTCGTCTACAATCCAGAAGAAGGCAAGGAAGGAAAAAGGACAAGCGTACGCGAGCGGCGCTAAATCAAACTACAAAGAACAGAGAAGGGAAAGGAACAGATGGCAGGACAAGATACCGCGGCTGACCCGGCGAAAGCGCTGGAGTGCAAGGAGAAAGGCAATAAGTGTTTCCAAGCCGGTGATTACCATGGTGCTGAGGAACTGTATTCGAAAGCGCAAGTCCCCGTTTCCGGTTCCCCCTTTGTGCCCCCCTCTCCCCCCTTCAAGTTTGCGAAGTTCCCCCACCAAATTACAAAGTACTCAAAGAATTCTTCTGACGACTCTCTTCCCACAGTATCTCCTACGACCCAACAAACCCCCTCCTCTACACCAACCGCACCCTCGCCCTGCTAAAACTCCACCGCTTCCCGCTTGCCATAACCCTCTCCCAACAATGCATCTCTCTATCTCCTCCCCCTTCCATATCCCTCAAAGCGCACTTCCAGCTCGCACAAGCGCAGATCGCACTCCACCACCCCTCCGAAGCTCTCGAGTCAGCGAAAATCGCGCATTCTCTCTGCGTCGAGGAAGTGATTGTCGGCGGGAAGGGCGCAAATAATATTGGGCCGATCACGGAGCTGGTGTTGAGGTGTAAGAAGGAGCTTTGGGAGTTGAGGGAGGAGGAGCGGTTGAGAAGTAGACCGAGCTTGTTGAATGAGTTGGTTGCGGGGTTGGAGCGGGATCGGGAGGCGTATATTTCTGTACTGAGGGCGGAAGGCAAGGGGAAGGACGTGGAAATAGAGAGTGTGAAGGAGAGGTATAAGGGGAAGATTGGGGAGTTGAGGAGGACTTTTGAGTTGGCTGGCGTTAATGGGGAGGAGGGGAAGAGGAGGAAGGTGCCGGACTGGTGTTTGGATGATATTACGTTTTCGGTTATGTTGGATCCTGTTGTCGTACGTATTCTCCTTGCCTTTTCTCTTTAAATGTGTCCTGGAGATGGCTTGCTAATGGACGATCAGACCAAAACAGGACAGTCCTACGACCGCTCCTCAATAATGGAGCATCTCAAACGCTCACCTACCGATCCGTTGACCCGCGAACCGCTACGAGTTGAAGATCTAAGGCCAAATTTGGCATTGAAAGCGGCGTGTGAGGAATTCTTGGAGGAAAACGGGTGGGCTGTCGATTGGTAGATACTGGTGGACGAAGTGGGGCACAAAGAAGAATGAAATCAGAGAGGACAGCAACGCGGAGACGAGGAGAGTGACATTCATGTCGGTTCAATCACAGCTGGGAGCGAGGAAGTAAAATTGCAGCCTGCCAGCCAGAGAGAAGGCGTAGAGCAGAGAATGAAGAGAGATGATGGGGATGATTGTATGGTGCATGTACGGCGTTTGGGATTTGAGCGAACTTCGAAATTCATTTCTGCATTTCTGAGAGTGGTTTTCGGGTATATTTGAGGCCGCTCGCGGCTGTCTCAGCCAGTATGAAATGGATTCTACTCAATCTCAACATCGGGACACTACATGTCAGTGAACTGAGCAGGTTGGTAGCGGCGTGAATTCTTGCTTCAAGTGAAGTCCTTCAATTACAGGTTACAACATAGCCAGCCATATTCTTGCCTATGCGGTCATGAAGTTCTAGCCGAGTGGCGCTTTCCGCCCCGTTTTTGGCCAAAGTTTGGTAGAGTACAAGAATGAGAAGGAGGATTCGTACTATGTATAATGTTCCACATATGTATCGTATTGTACAATCATACCTCCACCCCACCTGCATTCCTACGTCTCTATTCACAGGATTGTTGATTTACTTGTTAGGAGAGAAGAAGTGGTTTAGATACCTCGCTGTCCCGGGACACCAAGTACATTGCATCATCGTCCTCCCGAGCTTCAAAAGTGAGGGGCGCAGCGTTTGATAGCTAGGTAGAGAGAAGGTGAAAATTTATATACTCCGCTGTATTCGGAAAGACAGGGTATTGCATCATTGGCCTAAGGTCATCGGGAACATAAAACACGTGATAGCCACCGCTTTCTGTTCTCGAGATCGGACTATATAAGGTCTTATTCTACATTGTGATAGGTAGGTAATATACCCGAGCGGCAATTCTTGCGAATACGTAACTTCGTTCTTACAAATAACAGTCCTTTCCACACTGGAATGATCCCATGGGCATTTCCCATTTCCGTCTTTGGACCTGAGCTACTGCTGCTTTAGCCCGAGTCTTGGGTGAACATTACTAGGCGCGGCATGAGCATGCATTAAGAAACCGCCTTAGCACTCGCAGGGGCTTGTTTTGGCTCTCTCAAGGCAATGGTTGCGAGGGCTTAGCGCATCGGGGGGGTGGGTTAAGCTTGATTGAACTTCTTTTTGGAACTTTTTTTTTAGAATTCTATTGCCAAGTATCGTTTGACTGGCCTTATTCACTCATGTTCTTGCAATTACTTCCTTTTGGCTTTAGCTTCGAAGGCTGCGGATCAAAATCAGGCGCGCCGGTTCCCTCAGTGTTTGTATCTTGTAGATTTGGCTCAAATTCATCCCTTGAAAACGTACTTGGAGTCTTTTTATATCGCGATTTGGACTATGGCATCTGTTCTTTTCAAAGTCAGCTTCGAGTTTTAACTTTTCAACCTTCCTTGTAGCTCCCCGATCTTGCGAATAATTATGAGTCTTCGCAGGAAATGCTAAGGCAAGGATTACGTGACGGCGAAGCTACACTTGACAGCCAAGAGAGAATTTAACATGAAAAGTATTTCGAGTGCGCTGTAGTACAAACTCCTTACCTAATGCATAAAGTGAGTCTTTTAAATGTTGCCCGTCTTGAGGTTCCTCCTGCTCGGAATTAATCTCGCTACGAGTAACAATACAGGTTATTGGTCGCCGAACCGCGGGGCGCGATTTGGTCTTCAGACAAATAGTTATTGATGGCTTAGGCATGGAAAATAATCATTGACGGCCAGTGTGTCAAATGATTAGGTTTGATTTGATTAGACCCCCACCTAAAATCAAATCAAGTCAAAATCAAGCTAATCAAATCGTACTTAATTATAATCAAAGATAATCAAAGATAATGAATTAGATTTATCACGTGACTACGCACATGACTCTGGAGCTTCGGAAGCCGAGATAAGGTTAAAATAAGGTCTAGGCTAGCCATATTCGGTATCGCTCAAGGTGCTCTTTACTAAACCAGGCCTAGCACTAATTAGTAAGCGAAGCCAAAGGCGCTAGAACCTCTATGATTTCCAGTGATTTGTTACTACTAATAAAAGAACTATAAATAAACTCTTATAGTAATTAAGGAAGAAGAAATAAGAAAGGAAAAGAGAAAGAAATTTCTGAAGAAGAAAACTATTAAGATAAGGTAATATTGCAGTAGTAGTAAAGAGCTTGAATTGAGCTAAAGGCTATCTGCAGGCTAAGGAAGCACTGGCCATATGCTAAGTCACGTGCAATGGCACCACGTGACTGGTACCACGTAATAAAAACTAGTTTGTTATTTTAGATTTAGACTAATTTTATACTCTTATATATACTTTATAGATTTTATTTATATCTAATTAATATAGCTATTAGTTATTTAATAATCTTTAAAAATGCCTAATAAAGTATATTTTTATATTATTATATAATAATTATAATTAATTATAATAAAAATCAATCTAATTAAATCACACTTAATTATAATTAATTAGCCTTGATTATTTTTTGATACACTGCTGACGGCATGGTTATGTTATGATGCGCTGTGAAGTGCGGAGGTGGCGTTAAGGAAGCCGGGTGCATCTCGAACCTTAACTAAGCAATAAATATGCAAGACCCGAGAACTTACTAGTTAAATATATGGGCTTTCCGATGTTTGAATCAAAATCTGCCTGTTTAGATCTATAGCCAACTTCCAAATTTTGCTTACACCGCACTATTACATATATCAAGGTCCCACTGGTTCGCGCTATCTGGGCTGGTTCACTATTTACAAATATTTCCAATGAACCCCCTCCCAAGTATTTGCGCATATTTCAAGACATATATCTCTTTTACAGTAAACACAAAGTTGTAATTTGGGAGTCGTTTTGGAGTACGTTTCTACCTATCTGTACATAGATGGTTCTGAGTTGAAGTCAGTAAGCAGTTAAGTGTTTTTCTCTCGATAAGGCATACCAAAGTGAGGGCATAGCTTGCAGATAGAGAAAGGTCACGCACATTGCGATTCGGCTCTCGGTCCAGATGGAACCATAATACTCGAGGACAGAAGAATGCCGGGTGCGTGGTTGGGCGAGAAAGAAAGATTGTCAACGTATTTAAGGAGGCAAATAGGAAGAATTCGTGGCGGAACTTGATGCTTCTTCCGAAGCATAGTCAAAGTTCCGATCGATCGCACCTCTAATCATCTTGTATACATTACCGGTAGCTGGTGTTGTATCTACGATGTCGCTCCAGAAGTTAGAGTTGATGCAAGTAGGGAAAGTCGTAGGATTCTTACTGAGGGAGTTTGGGTTTTGACACTAAGTAGTTGTCCACAAGCTTCAACCGTTTAAGGCACTCGGCATCATCCCCAAAGCTAATAAATTGCAGGCCAACCTGTTTCTCCGGAAGGTTGAACGCAACCAGTTTACCCACCATCTTGTCTATAGCCGGTACAATGTCGCATAATGGAGTCCATATGGCATCCGTGAAGATATACAAGTTCAGTCCGCGAGTGATTATATTTTGCCAACTCTGGCGCTGAATTTTGCTTGCGTACTCGCCTAAGATCTGTTCAAGCCGAACACTCATGTCGGTGTAGCCCAAGCCTTCCTCGTGTTTTCTCTTTTCGACGATGGTAACGAGTTTTGAGGAAGTATCTTCATTGTGCTTGGCATTTGATTGAGCGAAGTACAAGTCGATGCCGTCTTTGTCGAAGGACTTGATCATGTACGCCATAATGCCTAGAAGTTCTGTCATATCTTCCCAGTGATGCTTCCGCATGGACTCTGAATCGTCAATGATTATCACCTATTGTCATTAGTGTTGTAACAAAAAATTCATTGATGCAAGAGGAGCTTACACTATCTCTATCCTCCAAGAATTTCAGTACCCACTGGTCACGAAGAACAGGATCAGGATCTCGACTCCACATCGAAGTGCTTTTCTTCCGGTCTCGCCACAACATTGCCTCGTTCCTAGACATGTTTGCGACAACTGAGCGCCGATTCCTTGAGTTCGCAAGCAAATTCGTCGATACAGGAGTGGCTGGAAAAGCAACTGGACAACAAGTTGAAGGTCGAACAGGTGGACTTACAGCTCCCGTTAATGGCGAATATGGCTCACTTTCATGCGAGTTATCCATAGCGTTTGGTCCAAAGACATCACCATTCGTTACTGCATGTCCAGAGTTATGGGAAAATGGAATAGATGGCCTTGCAAATAAAGCGCTTCCTGGTGCTCGGTCGATCATGGATGATATTTGAGGACCATCTCTGGTGATCTTGGGCCTGATCGGGTGAACGGGCTGCTCACTGTATCGACGAGTTTCTGTATCGTAATTCTCGAAGAGAGTAGCCGTGCCTTCAAGGGGGGCACTGGTGACGTGGCCGTGCCTGCCCAACCGTGACCCGGATTCGAATGCATGCACGCCTGGTAGTGTTCCTTGGCTGCCCGACATTAAGGTCGATTGGAGCCTTACAAGTGACTCAGGCTGTGATTGATTAGAGGAACTCTCCGAACTACTCGCCGCAGAGTTGGTGTGTATGGATGGAGGCGTAAACTCGGTGCTCCCAGGTCGCTGGTGATTGTCGTAGGGGCGCACGGGAGGGTCCATCCTCTGGCCCTGCGCCCTCAAGGAGCGTGGCAGTATGTCATCAGGGATAATTCGATCAGGCGAGCGTGTGCGAAAATCATGCAGGGCTTCAGCAAATATTGTATGGGCCTTTGTGCAGAGAGTCTTGGCGTCACCCCGATGCGTTGCATCTAGAAGCATTTCTTCAATCAATGGAATGAGAGTCGGTGTAAATGTGTCGTCGGAGGACTTGAGCCTGGACTGAACCTCCCTGTGCCACTCCCCAACTATTGGAAGCCTATTGATGCCATTATGGAAGCAGTCCCCATCGTGAGAATCCGGGATTTGGTTAATGGCTTTCCGGCGAGCTTGTCGATACTGTATCAGATTTTTATAACCACCGCTCATCCAGACAGCAACTTCGCTAAGAATACAGCCTAGGGAAAAAACATCGACAGCTTTCGTCACTCTCAAGCCTCCCTGGCCAAGTATGGAATCGGGTCGATAGCATTCTGGGGCACCTGGAAGCGAAGTCCGTAAGAAACATTGAAGCATAATTAGGTAGAAATGGGGCCTTACCATAGGTACGGGTTCCTTGAGCATCTGGATCAGAGTGATCTTGGTCAGTGGGGACGATACGCTTGGAGTGACTGGTACCAAGATCTGCGATCTTGAATACAGAGGCGTATTGGGAGCTATTGCCTAAGTCGCTCAACACGAGGACGTTTGCAGGCTTGACATCTTGATGAAATCTGTGAATGTCAGAGAGCAAACCGACATGCTGGTTGGGAACTTACATTACTTCATGACCATCATGTAAGTCTTTCAAACCCCTGACCAAACCTAGAACTCTTTTCCAAAGCCGAGCAATATCTATTCCGTCTTTTGGTGGCATATTCAATTGGAGATATTGTCCGAGTGAGCCTCTGTCTGCATATTCGAGGATACAATGCCAAGTGCTCCCATGTTTGAACGCAGTGTAGAAACCAATGACATTCGGAGACGATCCTACAGCACGAAGCTTCTGAAAGGTTTGCACTTCATTGGTCCATGATTTCTCAGCATCCTTGCCTTGGTATGTTTTGAGGACGAAGATAGTCGCGGATTCGTTTATTGCATGCTATCTGCAAATCAGCAAATGGAAAAATCTCACTGGGCTTTTGCATAAGTGCTTACCGCTAACGTAGGAAGGGTATTGTATAATGGGTATATTTCAATTGTGGATATCGTTGCACTCGCACCTTTAGCTATCTGCTGCTTTTTGGTGAATGGCAGAACGTAGTCCTTTTCGAGTCTTCGATTGCAGTTGGCATCGATACTCGGAGGGCAGAAGCTCCATTGTGCATGGCAAAAATCCTCAAAGAATGTCGGCGCCGTTGGATCAAAGGGAAATTGACTGGGACGAGCATGAAGTCTGAATGGGAGGTGTTGATCATTGAGATCGTCGCACCCCATAAACACTGGGAGAGATTCAATTTTCCCGATGTATATCAGAATGCAAAATATCTTCGAATATGCGCTCACGACTCCTTTGGCACTTATCGGAACCGCTTGTCCTTCGTAGACGGCGCCGAGCAATGTGTTGAGAACCTCGCATTCATTGGACTCCAGGTGAGCACTGAGAAGGTCGTATGGCAGGAATGGCGCGTCTCCAGGGTGGCCCGACGATTTGTGGTTTTCCTTTAGCCAGTGATAGAAATTCTGGAAGGGTTCGCTGAGGTAGAAGCGTGGGGTGTTCGATTGCGACATAACCACAAGCCAGGTGTAGCACCCACCCGGTCGACGGACCAAAAATACTGGTTCATCCCATAGCAGCTCTAATATGTGAACAAAAGGGCGAACAGAGCGCAAGACAAGAACGACAGCTACTACGTTCGATGTCGTTGAGGTGAAAACATGTCGTGATCGATTATTCTCGAGGATTTGGACGAAAGGCAGCAGCTCTTGACTTCCCGAATCTCGTCACTCTGGAGGAACTAGCTACGGTAGATCAACAGAACTGTAAGCCAAAAGCCAAAATGGCAGGGATTTCGATTATGCGCCCGAACCATGATTGGCTTTTGGGTCCGAATGTGGCTGACGGGACTTGGGATCTCTTTGGCAGTTAACCATTGCCCTAATCGCCGTCATTCAAGAGGCCGTGGTTAACCTTACCCAGGCAACTAGCAGCGAGACATTGATCCAAAGTAGCAAGCATGCTTTTGAAGCAAGTTAGCTTTCTTGAAGCGGCGAAGACGGAATGAGACTACACACCGTAAATTTTACGCGTCATCCATAGCGCTCCAGTCTGGTAGAGGAGCCATCGCTCCCCTTTCTCCGTTCTCGCCCACCGTTCTGGCGCGATCGTTTGTCGCAACAACTTCAAAGCATGCCCAAGTCGGTGGAGAAATGGAAGATGTCGAAGATTGGCAAATGAAGCATGCTTAGATCGGGAGCCTCTTGGATTTATCTGCTTTGGACCTCGTTCGATTGAAACTGGGGCCGCTTTTGACTGGCTATCAGCTGCTCCACGACTTTTGAGGCTCTAATTCCCAATTGAGATACCGGCATAATAGAAACAAGATACGATTGTACATGATTGGTTTTCATGCAAGAAAGCCTCGAAATTGTTGGAAACTTGGCATTAGATGTCACAGAAACTCCCCCGATTCAATTGCTGCTTTAAGTGCACGACGCCCACGCGCTTCTGCAACTTCATCAGGAGATTAGCTATAAAACGCAGCCTGGCGAGCTTTCTCTAGTGAAGCCAGCTTCCCCGAAATCTAGCCATTCCCTGGCTTCGAAATATATCCAAAGTTTTCCACAAACAAACTGCCAAGTAATCGAAGGATCGCAATGAGTAACTACGAATGGCGTACAGTTCCTTCTTATCGTCTGTCGCAATCTGCACTTGACAGCTTCCTGGTCGGCATATTTGGGAACATGAACTTCTATATCAGGGTAAGCGCCCGAGTGTGACATGGATCAAGAGCTGAGTGAGAGCTGTGTAGCTTAAAATTGACGACTGGGAGTTTTGGGCGGATCGCGATCTGTCTGATGTAAGTCGCTGAAGGTGTGAAGGAATGGGGGGGCGCCATAAGTGTTGACCAGTGCAAAAACAGGGCGAGAAAGAAAGGCTGGACGAAAAGCGTGTGGGTTGAACAGCTTTCGGGGCGAAAGAGCCTCGGGCGGCTGAGTGGCCGAGTAGGGTTGTGGAGCGGACAGGGCGGAGGGCGCAGGGTAGAAGGCTGAAACTCAACTGAAGTATAGGCGTTTGGCTCGGTCCAAGAACAATTGATGAAGGATCAGGCGATGAAGGGGTTCAACTCCAAAGAAGAATAATTTGAAAACATGTCTTAGAAGGTGAGGTATTTTAAATTAGCTTTCAGCACTAGAAATGCCAATGTGTCACATGATTGTCCTTCGCCCCGAGTTTCCAACATTCAGTCGACTTATTTTCGTGTCATTCGCCAGAACGCCTTGCGCTGAGCCTCAGGGAAAGCCCTTCTCAGGAGACACAAATGGCCCAAGCCTCATACACCGCCATCATCATGAAACCGGGCGTCTCTCTTCAATTTCTTCACCATTTCATAATCCTATAGACTTCACTTTCAGAGCCGCGCATCTCCAGATGCTGAAATACTGAAAAAGCCGCATACGGTGGCGGTTTTGTGGATTCGCACCCTCTATCCAAGATGACTGCAAACGATGAAAACAATGCCTTTCGCGATTCTCTGAGCAACTTCGCTAGCTACCCGAGGAATCTTGTGCATCACAACACCTTTGACCATGTTCTCGAGGCACACGTTGATAGATTGGACAAGCAAGACGAGCGGTTGTTTAGCGATGAAGAAAAAACAGATGTCGAACTTTGGGAGTCTGGAGTTGGTCCTTCTGGTAAGGTACCCCGAAAATGAGTTGCAATCCGCAATGTTATGTTAAGGAGTTGCAGTGTTTTTGTCTTTTCGCTTCAATAGCAATTCGCAACTATGGAAGCATTTCCTGGGAGTGCAGCTCTTTGCGAAGGTGGACCCGCAATGCAGATTTATGTAAGAATCCTATTTCTGACTTCTGATATCTCTATCATACAACTCCACTACATACTCCTCAATTCTAACCGCCGTTCTTAGGTTTGTGCATGCGGATCACTCAAGAGCCAAGTTGAAAGTGACAAGATATATGCTCGTGACTGCGTTCACTTATCATCAAGTCATGGCCCGCTTTGTCGACTTTTTATTCTCTTTTGGGAGACAGGACTACCCTAAAGACTTTCACTTCAGTGGATTGTACCATGAGACTCACTTGTCAGACGATCAGCCCAGCTTAAGTTTGAGTGACCTTGGAAGGTCTGGCATAGATTTCAAGATGTGCTATAATCTTAAGTCGGTCGAATCATCTAGCAGCCAGCCACAATTTCCGTGGTCTGTGAGGCAACTGGCAGTATATCATTCATTCGATGTCGTCACCGGGAAAAGTTTCTGGACTATGATCAAAGGAGACGCACTCATCAAACGACGCATAAAAGCTGCGACCGAGCCCAGCAGCCATCCAAATTTGGACTTGTCAACCGCATTGCACTCCTTTCTTGTGACGCTTACTGTGCAGTTGATTATCTTCGATTGGTGTCGTGAACAATGGCGTTGGTATATAAGTTACTTAGAAGAACTTCAAGAGATCACAACACGGCGAGCTTTGACAATGAGCTTTGACCGACCTGCCCTCCCGCCTTCCAACAATCCCCCTCTACGGGCTACAACAGCACCAGCTGGGAAGGTAAAACGCGCCTTCACGCAAATAATCAAACGGGCTGCCTCTGCTACTGGAACTCTATCACCACCAATACCACTGCAATCAATACCTCAAACTGCTCCCCTCCGGCCAGAATTCGAACCCGATCTTAGTAACACCAAAAGCTTCTCGTTCTCTGATCTCCAAAAGGTGCAGTCTTATGAGGAAAAGGTCAGGGAACTGCTTCTTGTCGTCGGATCAAACATCAAGATTGTGACAGCTATCAAGGACTACTACATGGAACTAGTTGAATCCTCAGGGTTTCCCGATGAGGTAAAGCTTGGGTCTGCGAGAAAGACTCAGGACTTTAAAAAAGCCGTTCTCAGTATTGTAAATGATCTCGAGATGCAGCATTCGCGCGCTAGCATGTTACTTTCAACGCTGACGAACCGCAAAGGACTGGTAAGGAAGCTCTCTTTCCCAGCATGTGTTTACTAACAGCATCTAGTTAAATGGCGTCTTAGAATATCGTAGCATGGAGGCTAGCAAGAGATTTGCTGAAAAGGCCGAGGCTTCAACGAGAGAAATCCATTCCATGACAGAAGAGATGAACGCCCTAACCCAAAAAACCAAACAAGAAACGGTCTCCATGCGTATCATCACGCTGGTAACTCTTTTCTTTTTACCTGGCACCTTCATCTCAGTATGCCTATTCAGCTTAACTTACTTTTGTCCGCTCCCATCTCCTTTCATCCCAGATAGTGTTCTTGCTAAGGCCAAGCAACAGACGATTATGAGTACAGATATACTTCAATATTCAAAAATACCCAATACCAAAGATTATGAGGAAGATTACTCATCAGCAGCACTAAAGCGATATGTTAGTGTCACATTGCCTTTAATGGCGTTGACTTTTCTGGCGTGGTGGGTGCTGTACTGGTGGGTAGATAGGAAACAACATGTGAAAGCTCTCAAGGACCAAATTAAGAAGATGAACAAAGGGGGACTGGCAAATTTTGTGTGAATGGAACTGCTAAAGTGCTTGTGGCTCCATGGGTTCGGGGAGGCGGGCCTCCTATTGGAATTGGCACATAATGGACGCAAGGGTATAAAAGGAAGAGGAATAAGGCAAAGCAAAATCCGTTTTATTGAAAGATTATTAGAGGGACAACTTTTGAAACTTCGGGATTGTAGAGTGTTATCGGATCACTAGAAGGAGTAGCAAAAGACCAACTTTCTTGTGTTATGGGAAGGATTATGTTTTAAATATATATCTTGGCCGACATTCAGTGAGCGGGACCCAAAAACATTGCTTGCATAACTTTAGTGTGCGACCATTAGTAGATAAAGCGAGCTTATATGTGTGGATTCTTAACTTAGGATAATGGTTGCATAAAGCACCGACCAAGACTGCGAAATTCAGCGGCCGTCTAACGGTATGGTTTATGGTCAGTGTGTCAAAGGATTAATCACGTTAATCAAATTAATCAATTAAGGTGATTAGATTATGATTAATGTAATTCAGATTTTTTTTTTTGATTAGATTAGAATAATTAAACAGATTAATCATGATTAATCTAATTAATCTGTCACGTGACTGTAATAAATCACTATTTACTTAATAAGTATTAAACAACTAAGGCACCTATCAAGTAGTCCTAGTTAAACTAAGCTAGGGCTTATGTAATAGTAGCTATATACGGAGGACTCGGCCATAAGTCTTGCAACTGGCAGGGGTGGGCGCCAAGCCTAAGAACGCCACATAGCTCTGGCATAGCAACGGTGCTTAGGGCCTCAGTTGCCTGAAGGAACATCGCTATTAGTAATGTTTACAGGGCTTGAGTGCTGTTATTTAAGCAGGACAAGCCTGTAAGGCCCTGTAATTATGGCGGCCTCTGGTTGCCGTGCAACGCTCTTGCAATTTAAGCGAGTGTGGCATCAAACCCTGACAGTTGCAAGACTTTTGGCCGCGTCCTCCGTACTAGCTTTTAATAATAAACTAGTTATTTTCCTATCCCTTCGTCCGGTGAGACATTGCCAGGCGCTAGCAAGGGGGGTGTGGCTGCACGCAAGCCTTTTGAAGCGTAATAAAGCGAGGTGAGGCTTGCGTGCAGCCACACCCCCCTTGCTAGCGCCTGGCAATGTCTCACCGGACGAAGGGCTAACTACCTATTTCGCGTCCAAGCGCTATGGTTGCCCTGCCAGCAGCGCTATTTACCCCTAAGGACATCTCATACCTTGCGAATGTCTCATAGCGCCTCTTGAGATCTGCTTAGGGCACATGGCCTGGAGCCATAGGGCCTTACAGCGGGCTCAAGCCACCAAATTGTATCCTGAGGGGTGCCAAGGGTCCAAATGCCCTGTAATCCCGTCACTTTATGCCGTGATCTTCGTAACCTTTGAATACTCAAGACCAATTGTCTTGTGAAATAGATTTTGGCTGCGTACAGACATAGTCGTTGTTGTCATGTCTTTCGCTCTGTGTTCTCATATCTACCCCATCCTCCAGCACTGAAATGAATCAAAAGATTGGCATATTTCACCCGTCCTCTGATTCCGCTCCTGGGGAGAAATCCTTCTCAACCTCCCTTGACTAAAAGTATAAGTGGTAGTAAGCTCACAAAGTATGAGACAGCATGAAACCAAAACATGGATCGGATGAAAAGTATCACCGAAAGGTGCAGATATATTGAGCGAGTGACTATCCTCCAATTTCCCGACTGATTCAACGAAAGTGCAAAGATGATAATAAACAAACGAAAGACACCAGTAAACTATGCAACGCTAAAACAAAAAACGAATGACAGATAAGTCTAATCCAAAATCCAAACGCTATGCGAGATGCTCATCCATTCACTCCGGGTCCGACCCCACCCCATCAAATCCATCCAGTGTACGCTGAGAATCTAGCAGTATTGCCTGCCCTGGGTATCCCGAACAGCAAAACCAGAGACACCATACTTGTCGACTTGGGTGTTGGCCATATCTAAGAATGTGAGAGGCGCATCACATCCCTTCTGGGGGTTGTTGCCTGGCGACAGAGTCTGGAACCCGGTGCTTCCTCCAAGGTCGTATTGAAGAGTCACATTCGTTGGCAAATTGGGGCTAGAGTACAGAGTGCAAGAGCGCTTGCCATCATCGCCTTGCTTGAAAGCGTGCTTGAACACCCAATTAGTGCAGGACTCGGGAGCCTCAAGGCAGCGAGCTGCGCAGTCGCAGGCATTGTGGATGCCGTCGCGGAAGAAGAGATCGACTTCGGTGACAACACCAGTGATATCGATACCAGGGAAGTATCGGACACATCCACCATCGTTGGAAGGAGCTTGGAGGTTTGGGAATTGGTTCTTGGTGATCTTCCCTTTGCAGATGGCGTAATCGTTATACTGGTCGCCTGATGGGAACATGTTGATGTCGCTGTTGGAGTCGTCATCTTGATCGCGCACGCGGAGGCCCTTAAGGGTAGCACCGAGGACGGTGGAGCTCAAGATAAGAGCGGAGAGAACGGTGGTGGTTTGGAAATACATTTTGGATTAAGATTGATTTGGTGACTTGAATGAAGGTATTCGATTCGACTTTTGTGATAGTGTTGAAAGATCGTGGTGTTGGAAAAGGAAATCGAAGGAAATAAAGAGAAAATAGAAAAGATAAAAAATGGTTGTTTTGATTGTTTTGTTGTATGATGAGGAACTACTTCATTGATGGAAATGGGACGTTATATAGAGCTTTGAGCAACTGATCCATCTCCATATGACTGTACCAGCATCTCCACGATACATGGTGGTCGGGTTGACCGGTGCTATTCACAGAGCATCATAAAAAATATTTCCAAAGCATAGCTGCTGACTTCAACGCCCAAAATCCCAAAAGGCTTGAATGTCACCTTGGGCCTTCCGAAAGAGCAAAATATTACGACCTCCCGTTGGACTGACGGTGAAGGTTAAATGACATACTCCACATCTGTCATTGGATATTTCTCTATTCAATGACAGAAAAATATGCATAAATAGGTGGGATTTCTCCGTTTGGTCGGATTTCATCGACGAGGCTTGCCTGACAGGTGCTGAAGGGCTGAGCGACGCCAGGTTGGATTTTGTGGAGAGCTTAAAGTGTGCTGTTGCGACGTTGTGATTTGCTTGGCGTCGGCGACGTTTCGGGCTGTGCTTACTCAGGCTATTTATTAAGATTAGGTGCCTAAGGCACCTACGGGGCTGAACGCCATGGTGCACTATGGGGCTTCATACCCTGTATCCCTTCGTCTGGCGAGACATAGTCCACGCTAGCAAGGGGGGTGTGGCTGCACGCAAGCCTCTTCAAGCGTAATAAAGCGAGGTGAGGCTTGCGTGCAGCCACACCCCCCTTGCTAGCGTGGACTATGTCTCGCCAGACGAAGGGATACTCGTTCGGCCGGGCTCACCTGGTTCTCGCTTAGCACGCTTACCAGGTGAGGGAGGGCAATACGCAAAGACCACCAATACGCAAATTTTTTCCCGCCACCCCACTATTGATTTTCCAACCTACTAAAATACTACCCAAATCAGAAGCTATTAAAGAGCGAATTACTAGGGCCTCTGAGGCTATAGATCAAGATCCTAGGCTAAAAGAAATAAAGGCTATAGTCTAGTTTATAGTCCTATATAATTAATTAATAGCCTGGTAGAGGAATTATCTTATAAGTAACTCTCGGGATAGATATAATAAAAAACTCTTAGTACTATAAGATAAGTCTTTAAGAGATTATCTCTTAATACTCTATATATCTGAGCAAAGTCCTAACCTGGAAATAATCCAAATAAATACCTCTAAGCTAGTTTATTATAATACTAGTAATATTAATTCCTCTATATCTTATAGATAAATAAAAGCTTAGATTACTCGTAACTATAAGTTCCTAAAGCAAATTCGAGAGAAACTAATATTTATAAAATATCTAAGTATATATATTATAAAGGATATTAAAAAGCATTTTACTAATTTTAATAAATATAAAAGAAAATAGAATATTTATATAGAAAATATATCTAATTTTAATAAGAGCAGCTTCCAAATTAGAATAGTAACGGGAAATATTATATATATATTACTAGATTATAAAGTAGTATATAATACTAATCTAGATAATTAAGAATTAGTTATAGTTATAGCTATAATTAATTATAGTAAAAAGAAGATTCTTATATATATTATTTTTAAGGAAATATATTATCTTTATAAATATTTCCTATAGATACTTAATAGTAATATTAAATTTATATACTTTTTTACTAGTTTTATAAATAATTGCCTGAATTTATAATATCTTAAGTATTTTATTAAGTATTATTCTCTTTTATAAACGGATATCTATAGAATCTTGATTTTTAATAGATATAGTTCTTATTTATCTAATGAATTTTTATATCTTTACTAGAAAAATTATATTTAATCTTTTAGATTACCTATATATATAACTTACTTTCTTTAATTACTTAATATTATTATTTTCTAATCTTTAAAATACTAGTTTTAAAAAGAGTTTTATTAAGAGATTTTTAATAATACGGAGAAGTTTAATAAAACAGACTTCTTTATAATTTTCTAGAGGTTTTGGGATAAAGTTTTTAAGAGCCGGTATATTATAATCTCTTTCTTTAAGAAAACTAGATTAATATCTCTTAATCCGCTCAGAGTTCTATAGAAAATAAAGAAGTATAAAGAGCTTTTAAAGTATCCGTAAACTCTAACTTCTCCTTTATAATACTCTTTACTAATTTTACCTTCTTTTCCTGATTTTATTACCCCGTTACCCCGTACTTCCACTTATAAAGACTAGGCAGATTAGCCTATACTATTAATACTATATATACGAAAACGAGATATTAACTATATTAAAAGTTATATAATATAATTAATAAATAGTATACCTATTACTTCTTTGGTTTTATATATATAAGAGAAGGTAGAGGCGGTATTAGAGAGGTCAATTTTATCTAGTACCCTTACTAGATAAAGGATACTAGATCTGGGTCTTGCGGAGAAGAAGCATTTAGCTAGAAAAGAAGGAGCTAGTAAGATTATTCAGAAATATAGAGAGATTATTATAGAGTAAGGGAGAAAGTATATTAAGGCAGATAATAAGGATAAAGCTCGGGTAGTTAATATAAGGCATACTAGGCTAAGTAAGCCTTGGAGAAATAAGTACAAAAAAATAATATAAAGGTTTGAAGCTAATTACTAGGACATAATTAATTAGAAAATAAAGGCTACTAATTACGATTTATGGGAAAAATAGGGGTTGTAGTAGGCTAAACTCCATAGTTCTATATATATAGCGAAAAATTTGTGTATTAGTGGTCTTTGCGTATTGCCCTCCCTTACCTGGTAAGCGTGCTAAGCGAGAACCAGGTGAGCCCGGCCGAACGAGTAGCTGGAATACCCTGTATAGCTAGGATGCCCTGTAATGTGCCCTGTAAAGATGAATATAGGTTTAGCTGGCATAGGTAAAGGCTCAGCGGGTTAGGGTTTAGTACATGTGATTTACAGCGTTCAGGGCCTATATGCGGGGGCTACTTACCACTATAGAACAGCAGTCAATTCATTATCGTTTACTTGGTTTACATTGCTACCTACGTGACCTCAGCTCCACAGCCACTCAGTCATGTGATCAGTTGTCTTCCTAACGAAGTTAGGACTATGCTATAATGTGGCTGGCTATATTTGAAGTCTGATGGGTACTAAGCTTAAGAGTAAATTTATAAAAATGTCTGCTGGTAAACGAAATTTTCTTAAATCTAACCAAACAAACTTCCACTATCAATATTGTCCACTTGTCAATCTTCGGCTTCCTTGTATCTGACAAATCATAATTACAAAAGCATCCAGAGTTATCTGAATAGGGATATTAGAATCTTATCTTTTTAAATTCTCAAAAAATTTATTGCAAAGATATGGTATTCTATTAAGTGACCTGGGAGTTCCAGGCTGAACTTTCCAACTCAAGGGTCTTCTTGCAGAGATCGGACAGGTCCATGTCGCTCGGAGGGACGCTCAAAGTGAGCTCAATGCTACTATATTGTGATTGAAATCGTGCTTCTGATAGCATTCATGACCACCAGAATACCCAGCACCCTCTTCTTCCTCGAGCCGCATTATAACCGCGAAGGCCCAGCCTACAGATCACTGTTTATGCCCCCTCATTTCATAAATCTCTCGAGAGTGAAGTTCCTGGCCGTATGCTGGTGGCGGCTGTGCTGGATTGTCTCCAAGTTCATGCTAGTCACTGTATATCAGCCATCTGCATTCCCGAAAGGACGGGATTATGAGAGGCCATACACGAGGAGTACCATCCAATTCATGTCGGAGTTGAATGGGACGTGCAAAATACCGTTCCATCACAGGAGTATCCCCTATCTGTTGGCCTTGTGCATCTCTCTTCTTCCTCACAAACCAGGCGATACCCCCCACCATAGCAGCCAGACCCAAGAGCCCAACAATACTGATACCAACAATGGCACCTGTAGAAATACTTTTCGACGACCCAGGTGCAGCCGAGCCTGGGTCTCCTGGAGATAGTGGTGCATCAGTCGCCCCCTTACCCCCGATCCCGCCCCCAGTTTTAAGAATCGTTGTTGCTTTTTTCGAAGTCGTAGTGCGTGAGGCAGGATTTTCAAGAACGCCAGTGCTACCGGGATAATTTGGGGATCCAGCACTGCTCTGGGTATCAGCGAGTGGAGAACTAGTAGCGTTCTCCAAGGGTGAAGGGTTACCAGCGGTTCCTGGATGTGAAGGATCGCTCGTAGTCTTTGAGGGTGAAGGGTTATTAGCAGCATTTGAGGATGGAGAATCGTTGATAGCCTGTGATGGTGCAGGCGCAGGAGCGGGGTCAGGATTGGTAGTAGGCTGTGTGGTTGAAGGATTGCTTGTTGCTGACGCGGGTGCAGGACTCTTTACTACACTGCTGGGACAACATTGAACATCATTCGGGCCCGGGCACTTATTTGCAACGAAAGTGTTGGCACAGCTGCTGCCGGTCCAAAGACAAACGCCATTTGCGGAGCCGGTATTGCAAGTTGCGACGCAGCATTGGATATTGTACGCTCCTGGACAGTATCCTGCTATATATGCTCCCCCCGTGCAGGCGTTGGATGTTTTGTCACAAAAGCCAGAACCTAACGGAGTTTTGCATGTTCGAACACAGCATTGGATATTATCTGCTCCGGGGCAGTAACCTGGTACACTTGTTCCGGCGCAAGACGATGTTGAGATGCAGGTTCCAATGCCAGTCTAATCTGGTTAATTGATGTGCTGAGAAGGGACAAGATATGATTGAGAGTGCCTTTATCTTACTGGTGTGGAACATGACGTATCACGAGGTACTAATGCGAATTCCCAACTAGCGGCCAAGGCAGCTCCGCCGAGAATGGTAACCAGGAGTCCGATTGAACACATTCCTCATCGCCACCGAAACTCAACCAAAAATGAAGGCACAAGACATCATGGTCTTCATGAATAGGAAAGAATGAAAGTGCTTGGCATACCTGGGCGGGGAAAGAAGGACTTCTCCAGCCTCAGGGCGCTCCATCACAGCACCCCCCTTTTTCTGCAGGCCGCAAATTAATGTTGATAATTGCCAGCATCAACCGTTGAACGTGATCCAGTGGTTCTCACTCATCCCCTGCCTGACCTATCAACAGAGTCCATTCTAGTAAATGACATGTGGGAGAGCCCGGTCCCCGCACTGCCAGGAAATATTAATCCTGGAACGATGTGCATTTTTACGCCCGGGTTCAAGGGGAAGAGCGCAGAAGATAGGGCCAGTTAGCGAAGCAATTGCAGGGAATCTACGCTTAAATTAGAAGCTTTTCAGCTCTTTGATGATCCTTCAGGGGCTTCGCGTAAGCTGCGGCTGGACATTGAGCCGACCATTGGTCACTATTCGTAAATTAACATTGCACCGCTCGAAAGATCCAAGCCACCACGAGGTGGTATCCAAAATAAGGTTTCAAAACTGGAGCTCGGAAGTTGTGATGGATCTAATAGGAGGAAGTCTTTGATTTCCCAGATTGTGACGTATCACGTGAGGGACCAGCTTCGGCTAAAATAGGGGTTCGCGATGTAAGCGATTTCGATTTCTGGCCACCAAAAAGAAACGGGAGCTATGGGCGGAGCCCGGGAAGACGCCCAGCGAGCCCTGTCTTAGCTGACAGAAAAGAAATTTTAACAGGAATCAAAATCTCTTGCTACCGGATCCCCAGATTGATGCGATCAGCAACATCATTGACTGGTACCTCTCAGCTGTACTCAATTCTTAACCAACGAAAGATTTCCTCGATTTATTACTTATTACAATAGTGAGTGAAACGGCAAAGTCTCGCATATAAATATTAACCCAAGCTTCATAGCCAGGTCACTTTCCTTCGGGAGAAATGGGTGATACCTCAAAGTTTGCAGCATCCATCCTCCTTACTAAGGCCCACAGCTAGCTAGTCGACAAAACAGAGAAGCGAGATTTGATTTTCTGATTTTCGATTTCTGATTTTCTGATTTCTGATAATTATATATATCTGCCCCTCTATTTTTAGGATATTATAGTAGGGTTTTTTCTCTCTTGTCCCGTAACTACTATTATATATCCTGCTTTCCAGGCATACTAGTACTAGTTTAAGGGATTATATAAGATCTCTGTCTATATATATAATTAGCCTTCCTAAGATATTAATTTTTAGAGCTCCTTATTTTTAATTATTTATATTATTTTATTACTAGTACTAAGAGTCTTAAGATTATTATTTCTACTTATTTAGCTTTCTATTCTCTTTACTTTTACTCATATATCTAATACCTATATATAGTCCGAAATCTATATAATAATTAAATCCCTATTATATTAGTAATTTAGGGAAGATTTAAATTATAATAGCTAATATCTTTGAATTATATAGGCATTTTCTAGATCCTGAGAATATATTTACTTTTAGTTATATTTATATATTTTAGCTTTAATTATATAAGTTTTCCAAAGTTAGAATACTAGCCGGTTAGCTATTAATCCTATCTATTTATAATTATAGAGGTATATTTCTTTATACTAATCTTATAAATAGATTAGCTTGCGAAATTATTTTCTTTATTATATCTTTTAATTACTAATTTCCTTATTATACTTATTTATAATATATATATAATTATTAGGAAATATAGAGATTTCTTTATACTAGCCTGTTTTACGAGGAAGCTAGTAGCTTATTCTAAGGGAATTAGTATAGAGTTAGCCTATATTAAAGTTATAGCTTTAGGAATCTATAATAGAAAACCTTGTATTTAGCTTCTCTCTATATAAATAGCTAGGTAATCTATATCTTATTTATTTTATATAAAAAGCTCCTTTATTAAGGCTTTAAGACCGGTTTTTAGGATTAAGGCAATTACTTATATATTATAACTTCTCTAGGAAATTAAGTAGTTATTATAAAATTAGAACTTATTATTTCTCTTTATAATATTATTAATTTTAATTATTTAAGCTACCGAGATTACCTTATTTCTAATTATAGAACTATATTTATTACTATTATTACTTACTTTCTTTATTATATGAGTTCTTATTTATAGTCTAGACTTTACTATAACTGACTTCTCTAGCTTTATTCCTAATACTAAAATAGATACTATTACTCGCTTCCGGAATAATAATAACCCGGCTTTACCTATAGTACTAGTAAATCTCTCTATTAATAAAACTTAAATTATATATCTTATATAGGTAATACTATTTACTACTATTTCTAGAATACCTTACTTTTAAAAACCTAATATTACTAAATTCCTAAATTAATATAAAAGCTAGTACTAAAACTATTATATTATTAGTTTAGCTATAGTTTCCTGCCTTTTCTAGTATTATTATATAATTATTATATAATATATTTATATAATACTAGAGTGAGTTTTAAATAATTAGGCTATTTTTAGAATTATTTTATATTAGAAGTATTAAAAGAAGAATATTTACTAAATAATAAGAATCCGAGATTTTATAAAGGCCTTAAAAAAAAAAGACTATACTAATAAAATTAACCTATAAAAGTTCTATTAATAATATATCTTCTTTTCTTAATATCTAGTAAATAATTAATTACTTAAAGACTATATCTAAATATTTTAGTTCTTTAAAGAAATTTCCTTATTTCTTTATAAAAAAATTATTCGAAAATATAATATAAAGCTTAATATTTCTTATATAATAAATTTTAAGGCTTTTGCCTTAATAGCTATAAAGTATTATAAGTTAGATTAAGCTAATAAGGAAATAACTTATTACTAAGACTATTTTTACTTTTATAATATTTTTATTAATAGCCTTTAAGCTTAAATAATTACAGAAATAGATCTTACTTATTTTATTTCTATTTATACGGAACTAGACTATTACTAGCTATTAGTTAGTATATAGCTTATAAATACTAAAGTTCTTATATTAGATATAGCTAAACTTATTTAAGTTATATAAGTATTAGTATTATTTCTTAATAGTATTTAGGGCTCTTTTCTAAATAGTAATATACCTAACTCAAATATATAAATAGTACTTACTAGATCCGCTTTTCTAAATATAGCTTAATTTCCTTAGTTTTATTTACCTATTTCCTAATAAGAACTATTAAGACTTACTAGAGCTAGTTCTAGATATTATTTCTTATATTCTTTTTCTTTCTATTAGTTTATTTAATACCCGGAAGTACTAGCTCTTTATATAGCAGGGATTATATATTTTAATTAAGTAAATTAGATCTATACTAGTCTTATAAGTTCGGGAAATATAATATTTTAATTTATTTCTAGAATTAATAAAATATAGTAATTTAAGCTATATTCTTAATATATAAATTAGAATATTTATTCTAGTCCGGAAACTAAAGTTTTTTCTTTTTTTTTTAGTTATAAAAAATATAACTTATATATAAATTCTAATAATAAAATAAGAGATTTTACTTAGACTAATAATAAAGATAAATAGGTTATAGTTAATACTTCTAGAATAGAGAAAAAAAAGAATAATAAGCTATATAAAGAACTAAAAAATAGTTATAATTAATACCGGATATTAAAGAATTATTAGGAAAAAGAAACTAGTATTATTATAATATAATATTTTAGAAATAGGAAATAAATATTTATTATAGCTATAGATAAAAAGAAAGAAAAGACTTAATAAGATAGTTTTATACTAGACTAGCTATAGCCTATTTTTATATATTTAATTTCTCTAAGAAATTTTACTATTAAGCCTATAGCTTTATTTATAGCCCTTATTTATCTTTTATTTAATTCTTGCCTAAAAGTCTGGTATCTAGTAAATAAACTTCGAAAAGAGGCTAAGCTAGAGCTATTATTAAATAAGATTCTTAATTAGAAAATAAAAAGTATTATAACTCGAAAGCTCTTATTAAATTCTTTAGCTTTTCTAAAGCTAGTTTTCTAGAGCCCTTAATATAACTTATTAGAACTTGGCCCTAGTATTACTATTACTTTTTATAATCTAGAAAAAAATAAAGAGAACCTATATTATATAGTATTTATATTTAAGCTTAGTATATATTTTAATAAAACTATTTAAGTTAAAGCTATAATTAATACTAGTACTAAAATTAATATTATAACTTAAGGCCTTATAAATAATTATAGTTTTATAATTATAGGAAATCCTTATTTAATCTTAGTCTCTTATAATAAGAAATATTACTCTTTTAAAAAACTTTATAAAAATATTCAAATTAAAATTAAAGATATATTATTATATATCTAGATCTTTCTTATTAAAGAAACTAATTATTAACTTATTTTTAGGTAATTCTTTATTCTATAAACTAATTTTACTATTAAATATATCTAATTAAAAGCTACTTATATAACTATTTTTAATACTAGAAAAAATAAGTTTTTTATAAGCTAAGTTATAAAAGTATCTAATTTATAAAACCAGATTTAAGAAAATATCTTTCTTTTAAATAATTAGAGAATTCTAAAAGAAATATTAGAATTAGAAAAAAAGAGCTTTTAGGGAATATTTTTATTTCTTTTTTAAAAATTTAGGAGAAAATTATATATATATTTAATTTGGGATTCTTAGTAAGTACTTCTTATAATATTTCTTTATATATAAATATAAACTATTATATTTCTTTATAATTTAATATTTATTTTTTTATATAATAATAAAGCCTTTTTCTAATAATATTAGTTAATAGGCTATATAAACCTATTATAAAGAAAATTTGGCT